AGGAAGTGCAGTGCACAAGAACCATAACTCTGTCTTGACTAATTACAGTGTTATTGCCCTTTGTTACTTTTCCTTGTCCAGGGCATAACTTGAAAATTACTGGTTGGAATTCAAATCAACTTCATACAATTGTCAAACACAGTAAGGGGAAGTGCAGTGCATAAGAACCATAACTCTATCTAAAGTGATTACAGAGTTATTGCCCTTTGTTACTTTTCCATTGCTTTCTTTTGTCCGGAGTATAACTTGAAGACTAATTGTTGGAATTCATTATAACTTCATACAAATGGTCAAGCACATTGAGAGGAAGTGCAGTGCACAAGAACCATAACTCCATCTTGACTAATTACAGAGTTACTGCCCTTTGTTACTTTTCCATTGCTTTTTTTTGTCCGGAGCATAACTTGAAGACTAATGGTTGGAATTCAATATAACTTCATACAATGGTCAAGCACATTGAGAGGAAGTGCAGTGCACAAGAACCATAACTCCATCTTGAAAAATTACAGAGTTATTGCCCTTTGTTACTTTTCCTTGTCCAGAGCATAACTTGAAAACTACTGTTTGGAATTCAATACAACTTCATACAGTTGTCAAGGACATTAAAAGGAAGTGCAGTGCATAAGAGCCATAACTCCATTTTGACAAAATACAGAGTTACTGCCCTTTGATACTTTTCCTTGTCTGGAGCATAACTTAAAACATACTGGTTGAAATTCAAAACAACTTAATACAATGGTCAAGCACAAAAAGAGGGAGGAAGTGCAGTGCACAAGAACTATAACTCCATCTTCAGTATTTATAGAGTTATTGCCCTTTGTTCCTTTTCTTTGTATTTCTGGACTTATTAATTCAATAAAACTTCTTCAATGGTCAACCACATTGAAAGGAAATGCAATATACAAGAACCACAACTATCTTTAATTGCCCACAACCATAACTCTATATTTCAATTCTTTTACAAGGTATTCTGTTACTAGTAACATCCTCATTTCCAAAGCAGTCTTGTGGGGGTATTAATCACATTTAGTGATAGTTCTAGTTTTTTTCATTTCGTGAGTGACACATCTAATCTTGTATTCTAGCTTATGATCCATTGTTGGTTCTCACTTTTAATTATTTAAGTCTTTAATTGTCAGTGCTATTTATGGAATGATCAATCCCTTCATTCTTAGAGACTTATGATCCATTGTCAGTGATCAACTACTGTGCCTTGTGATCTAGTCATTCCTGACATGATCTATTGTCAGTTCTGATCCATCATCAGTTCTGACTGGATCCATTGTCAGTAATGACATGATCACTTGTCAGTTCAGATTTTTGTTCCATTGTCAGTTCTGTCTTTTGATTCATTGTCAGTTTTGTCTTGTGATCCATTGTCAGTTTTGACTTGTGATCCATTTATCAGTTTTGACTTGTTATTCATTGTCAGTACTGACTTGTGATCCATTGTCAGTACTGACTTGTGATCCATTGTCAGTACTGACTTGTGATCCATTGTCAGTACTGACTTGTGATCCATTGTCAGTACTGACTTGTGATCCATTGTCAGTACTTACTTGCAATCACTTCACTTATGGACAACAATGTCAGTGATCAAGAAATTGGTCTTAACAATTAGTTTTTAAGGGCAATGGTGTTGTCAAGCATGTGATACACTGCCTGTTGATAAACTGTCTGCAACTTTATACCAATAATTATCAGTGAGTAATCAAGCATTTATCAGGAAACATTCAGCGAAAATACAAAAAAATCAAACATAAACAATTGTATGTCGCATATTGAATGCAGTGTCTACAGTAACTTTTTCCATAAGAAAGGACTAAAGCCATGGTCAAATCATTAAACAAATGAACCAGACGTCAACAAGATCCAAAAATGACAATATCTTAAATTATCTTTACATGCAATGTTACACAGGGGAGATCACTTCAAAAAGGAGTACAACAGAACTTCGTAATTCACTCTACCAATATTTTTTTTTTTGGAAGCAATATTTTGTATTTCACATGCCTAGCAAATGAAGAATGTTGTCAGGTGGCCTTTGAACAATAGTAAATTTTCTATGAGGAAATAAAATGTGAATTTTTTAGAGATGGGATTTCAAACAACTCCATATTTAAAGACGGTTTGTATCTCACAAGCAAACAAATAGTTTGGTATATTCTATTTTACAGAAAAAGCCTATATAAATCTTCAATATGTATACATGCAGGAATGATGCTGGATTCTCAGCTTAAACTTGTCTCTATTGATATTTTAATATGGACTTGCCAATAGCTTTTAGTTTGGGAAAGTCATTCAATAGTTTAATAGATTTCAGTATTAAGGTAGACCATGGGTAATGGGCACCATAAGGAACTGTAAAATTGACAACATAGGACAATTATATGTCTTCATGGTCACCTGTATGCAAAATTTAAATAAAATTTACCGTGTGGTTTATGAGTTATGGATATATTTCTGAACTAAGACTTTGCCATTAGAAGGGCTTATTTTCAGAAATGAGGAAACTGTAAATAATCTGTAATATCATCATTATAAAAAATGTTTTTCTATTGCTCATTGTTAAGAAACAAATAATAACATTCAGGTAACACATTACACAAGCAAAATGTTTGTTTCTAAACAAAATGTTCTTAATATGTATAAAAATGTTACCCTACCCCACCCACTTTTAACACTAATTTTACCATTTCCCTATCTAAAATGCCTTATTCAAAATATCACTAAAATTTATCGAAATGATGGTCTATTTTCAAAGTTTGCCTAAAATTTTTCAAAGGTATATTAGTTGATCATGCGAAATTTAAAATACTTTTACCGTGTAGTTTTCATTTTATCGAACTTTGAAAATATCTGGTATCATATTTAGCTATAAATTGTGGCATTATTTAGCAAAAAAAACCACCTAAAATAATTATATAATTTAAATCTAACTTTTTTTCTTCCATAAGGGATCAGAGAGATACATAAATAATGTTAAAAAGAAAAAAGGAAAGAAAAAAAGTTGCCCCTTCTGGGGTTTGAACCCACGCCCCTCAATTTCAATGTAGTTTACAAGCGATTCTAGCCTATTTAAATACTCTTCAAAGTGAAGGTAATGCATTACCCATGGTCTACCTTAAAATACAAGGACAAATATAAGAGTTTGGTTCTATAATTGTGTATTTGGTTGGGTTTTTTTTAACACCAACTTTATTATGGTCATGTTGACATTAAATTTTCTGCTTTCTTTTTGTGGATTTCAGGATACATCAGGCACTTAAATAGAACCACCAACCTTTCATAAGCTTGCTGGAGTGAGGTATATTATAAATAAGTTCTCAAGGTTATATTTTTGTTGTTATTTTTACAATGAAGGATTTATAATTATTTCTTGGAAAAATACATATGTGCATAACAGTATATAACAAGAAAAGCATTGATGCAAAGCATCAAAGGGCGTCCAAGCAAGAAATGCAGCAAGTGAAGATGAACTAGTACACATATGATGACAAGATATTCTTATAAACTACCAGAAATGTATATCACTTATGAATGAGCGGACGAAAGACATTGTTCATTATGAGCTAGAGATTAGAATATTACTTGTTATTTCTTTATGATCGTGGTTATTAATAGCAACGGATATACATGTATGCAATCATTTATAATCCATATGTGTAACGCATGATCAACACGTACGTACCACACCTTTGTAGTTGTCCCTTATTATGTTATCGCTATTAGCGAAGACCCCCTCTTAAGGTATCTGTTCACACTTTAATTAGTAAAAATGTGACACTGGTTATATTACCATGTTGATCATGTTGAGCATAATTGTTTATTATACAATAATTGTAATATCTATTAATTTTAATATAAAAAAATACAAATTTTATGAATATTGTTTTCTTTTCTTTTTTGTGTTTTATGTGCTATTTTAATACTGAGTTTTTACTACTCTTTTTTATTAAAATTGTAAAATAAATTTTAAGAATTCAATTGTCATATTGACCGACTATAAAATATAAGTCAAAGCTTAACTGGAAAACGTCAGTAAATTATGGTTTATCTTTCAATATATAATATTGTTTATTCTTAAACCATGTACATGTACATTTGTATTTTTCTTTATCATTTTTTAAATTATCAATCAATTGAATAATTCATAAAATCTAATTTGTAACTTTGAATAATTCCTCGGCATCTTTACTAAACACGGATAACAAATTAAATAAAATGTTTCAAAGTTGATAATGTCATTTTAATACCATAAAAATGTACCTTTTTCTCAATTATTGTACATATCACGGATTTATATTACATATCTGTGTATATATTTATTGTTTTTATCTCATATAGATAAAATGAAACATGCTATTGTTGTTGTTTTTTTCTAATTGTAACGATATCAAACATCTACTGAGACCGGACAATAAACGTGTGGTACTATTCGCCGGTCACTAGTAAATCCCGGTCAAGATAGACCGGGAGAGACCGATAGGAGTGATAAATAGATATATCTATAAATAGATTTTTGGAATATTTAGGTAATCAACTGATCATTCTATGATACATGTACAACAATAACATACCATGATAACCCACTGTGTACTACAAAATGATAAATAAAAAACACCGAAGAGCGCGATTTATTAACGGAAAAGGTTATTTCATTTGAAAATGTTTGCATTGCGAAATTCTCCAGTTCGCTATTCATTGTAACATATCGCGACATTTCATTCTTAATTAATAATCAAGCACCCTCATACCGATCGGAATGATCGGCTTTTATTATGACCGACTAAAAGGCTCGAGAAGCGCGACATTTCATTCTTAATTAATAATCAAGCACCCTCATACCGATCGGAATGATCGGCTTTTATTATGACCGACTAAAAGGCTCGAGAAGTTGCTGTCGCCCTTTCACAAAATCTGATTTCATTCCATAAGGGCGCTGCGCTTCGGCGCGGACGCCAATAATATAATTATAATAGATGAAGAAAACAAAAACATAAACTAAATGATTTATTCTATAGACATATTTTCATACAAATAAATACACTACAAGCATCTAATCATGTACACAATAGTTTTTCTTCTACTGCAGTATCTACAGTCATGTTTTACAAACCTTAACAGATAAAACATTACAATTATAATGTATAATTTGTTAAAATCTATACAGAAAAAGGAATTCATATAATACATATACTTATTTTTTCTGACCTTTTGATTCAATAAAGCAATGTGATCATATACACCTGTATATACAACATTTCTATTTGAAAACTATCATGTGGCTTTCATACATGTATGATCAGTTTTTGTTTAAACATATTTATATAAGTTAAACTGAGACTAAAGCTAACAGGTTATCTGGACCATACTCAAGACTGGTTACAAGAACTAACAAGTACATTTGAAGAAACATGGCTGTCACCCTCATAGGACTCAATTCTACAACCACTTAGTAACCTTACTATGAACAATTTGTACTTAAAAACAAATAAAACACCCCTACTATAATGCTAATCACCACACAAATTAAAAAAATAAAAATAATTTTACAAATCTGTTATAAATTTGTACTATAACTTCCTTGAACTATATAACTAGTATATTCTCATACAATTTACTGATTTGTCATCTTCGTTGTCAGAATAAAAACAAAAGTGACTGTAAAATTAAAAATCATTATCTTCTAATACTGCACAATTGTAACATAAATTATCATTGTATAATCGTGACTTTTATATAATCTATGTATCACATAAAACAGCTTTTTTACATGTTATATAACCATTATGTATTTCTTTGTATGACACAGGCATAAAAAGCTCAAAACAAATTTATTTTCATTCATTACAATGTGTTAAGTTATGTGATGATAGAGTCTAACACAAGTCATATTATATGATATAACATAAAATGTTATTAAATTTGTCCAAGAAAATATCAAACAAGCTTGCCAGAGACCTGCTTAAAATAATTTCTTGAGCTTGGGTTAATAAAATCTTATACATACATGTATGCTGTGAATTTATGGAGTAACTTTCATTAAAATAAAAAAAATTGTGCCATATATTTTTTTTGGGGGCCATGTGATATGATCATGTATAAACGGTTGTATGAAATGTAACCCTTGTCTAGCAGCTCGTATAATCTCACAAATCATTCTTACTGGCTCAAATAACTTGTCAAAATTATTTATAATTAATACAACAACAATGGGTATAATTTCATACCATGCACTTATTCACTACCAGCTATGATTCTACATCAATAACAAATTTCTTTGTAAGGAAATGAAAAAAAAAAGTTCTTACATATAAATGCACTGTTTAAAAAGGTCAGGACGTTAGCCATTTTTTTTGTTGGTAATTTTCATTGTTTCTCTATTGACTGTATATGATCAATGCTCAACTATAAATAATCAAAGAGGTTTCATACTTCATACAGAGGTTTAAACTTCTTTCACAAGACTATAAAACATGTGTAGTCTTGTTTATTTATATAACATTTGTATGTACATAAATTTTCACTGTTTTACAGTACACTTTCCCACGTGTCTATTCACAGAATCTATGCAAAGTAAATGTTCCTATACAACTTCAGTATATTACAACAGTTACTACAGTCACGTAGCTGCCCAAGTCTGCATGACATTTTCCTTGTCATCAACACTAACTTTGGGAACGGACGTTTTCTTCGCAATCAGGAGTCGACTCTGCTCAGCTTTCACTGTAACAAAAAACATATATACATGTTAGTACAGTGTATATAAAAACACCAAAGTTAAATATTGCACAGATAAGCTCATCACTACCTCTTAACAACATTTCCATCATTACTCATCACCTATGAGATTGCCCATGGATTCTATATAAGTTAAATGGCCATGGATTCTATATAAGTTAAATGGCCATGGATTCTATATAAGTTAAATGGCCATGGATTCTATATAGGTTAAATGGCCATGGATTCTATATAAGTTAAATGGCCATGGATTCTATATAAGTTAAATGGCCATGGATTCTATATAAGTTAAATGACCATGGATTCTATATAAGTTAAATGGCCATGGATTCTATATAAGTTAAATGGCCATGGATTCTATATAGGTTAAATGGCCATGGATTCTATATAAGTTAAATGGCCATGGATTCTATATAGGTTAAATGGCCATGGATTCTATATAAGTTAAATGGCCATGGATTCTATATAAGTTAAATGGCCATGGATTCTATATAAGTTAAATGGCCATAGATTCTATATAAGTTAAATGCCCATGGATTCTATATAAGTTAAATGCCCATGGATTCTATACTAGTTAAATGGCCTTGGATTCTATATAAGTTAAATGGCCATGGATTCTATATAAGTTAAATGCCCATGGATTCTATATAAGTTTAATGCCCATGGATTCTATGTAAGTTTAATGCCCATGGATTCTATACTAGTTAAATGGCCTTGGATTCTATACAAGTTAAATGTCCATAGATTGTATATCAATTAAATGTGCATGAATTCTATATAAGTTAAATGCTCATCAATTCTATATAAGTTAAATGCCCATGGATTCTATATAAGTTTAATGTCCATGGATTCTATGCAAGTTAGATTCTATGGTGTGTTTTTTCTGGTAGTTACTACTTACTTCTCAAAATAAATACGTTGTTCAATTAGCAACGACAGAATTTTCTTCATCTAATAGGGGCTTGAATCCCCATGATCACAAAGGCTTAGAAGATTAAGAGTCTGGATCATAATTAAAAATATCTGAATATGTATGTCTATATGTTTATTATACAATAGGCAGCTCAACTTGATAACAAAATGAACAGAATGTTCAGAATTCATAGCACAGCAAATCCATATCAAAACTTCAGCAGGTCATGGGTTAATTTGATATTTTTTTTTTTAATTTGTATAATCATTCCAAAACTTTGCATAACAATTGTATCAAACAAAATCTGTTTGATATTTGCCATGTAAAAATTATGTGAAAGTCACAGGAGTCACAGCATTTAAATCCACCACATGTAAGGGCCAATGACTCACATAAGAGTATGTTACATAAATATTTCATTTCAAATTTTAGTAAAATAAGATGTATATGTGAAACAGCACTGCCATGGGAAAATACAGCCTATGTTTTATGAAAATTACACAATAATTATATATACCTTTAGACATTGCTGTCCCTGTATCTTGAAACATGTCATCACCTTGTCTTAATTTCCTTCAAAACAAGCATAACAAAACATCAGTATTTAGTTCTTGCAACATGAAAATTTCAAGAAAAAGTCTATTCTAAAAAATTAAAACACTAAAATCTAATAGAAATAAGAAAGTAACAATGCAGGTTAGGGTCTTATAGAAAAAGTGCAAAATAGTCCTTGAAAATAGAAAACATAATTTGTTCTGTATAAAACCTAGCTCAATCCTGAGTGACAGTTGTGACCCTTTCTTTTCAGGGATATTAAGTTTAAACATTGAAAATACAGAGTTAATAAATATAATTTTCAATTACAACTGTACATTTCAATACATAATAGACCACTTACACATTTAGAGGTTTTGTGACGTAACTGACTGGGTTCTTGTTACGTCTGCTACGTTTCTCTGGTGACTCACATCCGTCATTATGTCCATCTAACTCAGCTTGTGACCTCTTTCTGACCTCAGTGTTTGAATCTTCTTTGACAAGGTGCTTGTTCCCAACCATAGTCAGACGTTTTTTTAACAGTGCTATTGCGCTGGGCTATCAGTCGAAAAATACAATGTAGATGTTGAGCAACAAAATATTTGCTTTACATTTGAAAATTCAATATATTTAACTATAATTGTATTATAAAATGTACAGATACTGGAATTAAACTGCATTATGAATGAAATGCAAAGTGACAAGGCTCTTTCCATTTAACAGAAAGTTCAACACAAAACGTGTATTAAACACTATCTTTCCAGCAATGCAGCATTCATGAAACATTTAAATTAATACAAAATGTTTAGAAATGATATTTTGAACTCACTTAGCTCTAAAGACAGTATGCCTACATATTTCTTTCATAAATGTTTGTTATTTATTTTTTTTAACAATGGACAGAAGATATTTAGCTTTATACACTTTATTCTTTACAAATAATTTGAATACTGAAATACAGTAATATAATAAAACATTAATTTTAACTGTCAGTAACAAATGATGTTTATGTATAAATGTGAAATATACTGGGAGAGGGTTTGAAGAAAAGAAGAAAAGAAAAAAAATGAAAATAACGGTTTAAGGGATTTGGGCTGTTGTTTAAAGAAAATGGGAAATTTACAACTATTTCCTATTGATTACTTTTCATTCATTGAATGCCATTTGAGGAATTCAACATGAACAGCACCAATCATTTTCATTATATACACATTTATAAGAGTAGAACAACAGTTTATACCTGGCTTTTTGATTTGTCTTCTTTAAGAACAGGTGTTTGTTCTGGTAAACGTTCAACTTTAGCTTTCTTTGTACTCCTCCCCGACGTTTTGGAACTCTTTTTCACTGTTTCTGGTAATGCTGCTGGTGTTACACTGAAAACGGAATGATTACATAAATACAAATTATATCACAGATGAAAAGATGCCAGATGGATGTTCATTTTGTTATGGTTGGGTTTTCAATTATTAATTATTGACTTTTTCAACTTTTTTTTTGCCTTGCACTTTTTTGGGAAGATTACACATATATTGTGTACTATAAATTTAAATGAGGTCTATAAAGGTTTGATTATATATAATATTTTGCTTTGCATACTTACTAGAAATTAGTATCAAGTCAATTTTAATCTAAGTCTTTTAAAGTTGTGATTGTTAAATCAGCTCATCAAAACTTCCTATAATTTTCACAATAAAACTGCATTTGAGTAATGTAAACTTGCTATATGAACAAAAACCTATCATATCTATATAAGATTTAACATATCAATTTAATTACCTTGACTTCTCAATTTCTTCATTGTCTAACTTATCTGCCTGAAAATAATAAAAATAGTACAGATTTTATAATACTGCATGTTTGTAACGTCATTTTTCATTGGATAATTGTGCCGTTTATATAGTTTTATATACACGGCTGCTGTCGATTCATGAAGAAATCTTACTTTTTATCCTTAAAAATGATGCTTGCTGTATTATAAATTCATTATAAAGATAGTTGACAGGTTACATGGCCGTATATAAATGGCTGTTTGCAATATATATTGTTATATTTACAAATAGCCGTTTAGGGCCATATAACCTGTCAACGATCTTTATAAATAATAATACACACAAGTGTATACACTCTAACACATGAGCACACACCTACCTTGATTGCTGGTAAGTATAACATCTGACAACTGAGTCAGGGAAATTATTCTTTGTCTTGGTGGTCTAGAACATAATAAAATCTAAAAGCAGAATTTCGAATCCATACACTTTGTATTTCATCTTATATGCAAGCAACTTTTTGCTATATATATACATGTTTGAAAGAAAATCTTAATCTGTAAAGAAAACTTCATATGTCACATAATGTGAAGAAAAAAATGTGTAAAACTGTATTCTTAAAAATCTGATATATCATTCAAATCAACAGCTTTGTAAGTTGCAGAGATGTAATCATGTTAAATACCAATACTTACTATGTTCATCCTTGATTTTCCAGTCTTTTCTGGCTCGGCAGCTTTCCTTTTCTTTGTAGACTTCTTTGTAGATTTTGTTGATTTTTTTTCTTCAGGTTTTTTAATTACAAGAGGAGATTCAGGAATGATTTCAACATCATTTAAACAGTTTGAGATCGACTTTTCTATTTTATCCCCAGTGCCAACTTCCTTATTTTCACAATCCTCATCATCTGTGATTTTTAAAGCCTTGCCTCTTCTCTTGTTGATGAAATCAAGATGTCTTCCAATTTTCTCCTCTATATTATCTTCTTTAATTCTCTTATTCTCTGATTTTTTATTTTTAGATTTACTTTCACTGTTTTTCTTAGGGCTATTGTCATCATCATCATCATCATTATCATGACATATAGACTTGACATGTCTGCGAGACCTACGATGTTCAATTTTTTCTACTTTCTCAGAGTCTGATTCAGTTTCCACAATCTTAGCCTCTAGTTCATCACATGAAGCTTTCCTAAAATGTTCACTATTTTCTTTATTACTACTTTCATCACTTTTATCTGAATCTAAAACAACAATAATACTAGCATCTTCACTTTTTTCCAAGCCAGCCAGTTTTTCACCTTTTCCTTCCAGTTCATTGTCCAATTCATCATTTTTTATTTCAAATGTTTTTCTACTTCTCATAGATCTTGACCGGGATTTTCTCTGTAGGACAGGACTTTCATCAACATCAGAATCATCATCATTAATTGGTTTCCTAATCTGTGACTTGGACCTTCCAGATCTACGAGGACCAGCACTGGAATTACATAATTCTAAATCTGTATGTTCAGCATTTTCACTTTTAGATCTATTAGCATCTAACCCACTATCCTCAATTTTATGTCTGGCTCTTGAACGTGATCTGCCCCTTCTAACTTCTTTAAGATGCAATTCTTCTCCATTTTCAGACTCAGGCTGTTTTGATTTAGATCTACCACTTCTGTTTTCTATCTTTTCTCTACTCTTGGTTACAATTTCTGCTTGTTCATTTTCGATTTCAACAATTTCTTCTTTATCATGATTTTCCCCTTTTGTTTCATCCTTCAAAACTCTTCCTCTGGATCTAGACCGACAACGCTTACTTAATGACTGTTTTTCTTCTTCCTCAAAATCCTCATTGCTATCTTCTGGTTTTGAAGTTGACTTTGACCTGTTTGTCTTTTCGGTTATTTCCTCTTTTTCATTTTTACGGCTTCTTGATTTTGATCTACCTCTGGATTTCACTTCTTCGATTTCATCATTTTCAGCCTTGTCTGCAGCTCTTTTACGAGATTGTGAACGACCACGCCTCACAGTTGTTTGCTCATCATCAGTCTTCCTACTGCGAGATTTTGACCGTCCACGAGATTTCCCTCCTGGTACCCAATCATCATCATCATCCTCATTTTTACGGGATTTTGAACGGGATCTGGATTGAGACTTAGCTCGTTTAGATGATGGATTCTCATCCGGACTACAGCCTTTGAGAGGAGCATAATAAACCTGTCCATCTGATAAAGGTTCTGGCACATTCTTCTTATCTTTGAAACTGTTAAAGCTCACCGGAGCAGCTGCAACACTTTCATTCATTGACAGATCATAAACATTTTTTGTTTTAGCAGCGAGTTTATCTAGAGGCATGGTAGGGGTTCTGTCTCCAAAGTTAAACATATCTCTATCAGATCCAGTCTTCCTCTCCTCCTTTTCTGGTGTTACTGCTTTCTTTTTCTTAGACCTGGCTTTGCTGATCTTTTCTGGGACAGGTTTCCTAGATCCATCTGCTTCTTTGCGACCAACACTAAATGTAAACACTCCTGGTTTCTTTGTTCTTACTTCAACTGCTGCAGTTTCAACTGACTCATGCTGTGACTTTGTGTCTTTTTCAGTTGCTGAACTTGTAGCACTTTTACTATTCGCTGAATCAGTGTGGTCATCTGAGTCTGTTATAGACTCCATTGGATTTATTGGGCTATTTTTCTCTGACCCTCTTAAAGTTTGAAGCAGCTTAGTGCTGTCAATTACAGAGGTGAATTCCATCTCTGAATTGAAATAAGTTGTAGGTTCATCAGAAAATATAGGTTCCGGGAGAGGCGAACTTTCTGCTGGTCTTTTTTCAAGGCTTTCTCTAAATCTTGCCAGAAAAGCTAAACTGTCAACCTTCTTTTCAGGGCTAGCACTTTCTACATTGATGTGAACAGGACTTCGAAGGAGAGTTTTTGTTGGCTTGAAAGGGTTTTCTACAGTGTCATAACCCATTCCCTCTTCATTCAAAGGCTTCTGTGGACTTCTCTGGATATTTGCACTCTTTGGAACAAATGGATTTTCTGTAGCATAGGTTTCTCTACGTTTCATCTTTGATGAGGTTGTATCAAATTTTGGTTTTACACTCTTATTGTCTTTCATACTATTTTTAACAGAATTAGTTTTAACTACATTTTTCTTTCCCTTTGTACCTGTTTCAGGAAAAGCTTGAGGCTTTACAAATGTTTCTTTCCTCTTGTTTTCCTTTTCTTTTGTTTTAACTTTTGGATCAGAAGACTGTTTCTGTAAAACAAACGTTTCTCTCCTTTTCTCAGCAGTAATTGGTGACCCAGATACCAAATCTGCCGCAAAGTTTCCACCAAATCCAAATGCACTTATATCACCATCAATGTTATTGTCTTTTCCATCAAGTGTTTTATCATTTTCCATTCTTTTTACTTTACCATCAGTTACAAGTGATGCTTCAGATTCATTCCCTTTCTCTTTCATTTTTGAACCCTTTTTGTCTTTTATTTTACCACTCTCTTTCTCTTTTATTGACTTTTCATCATTTTGCCTATTACTTTTTGATCTGGATTTTTCCTTCTCTTTATCAGAATAATCCTTTTCTTTCACTGGTGCCTCTTTACCTTTTAGTTCCTTCTGAATTGTTTCAGATTTGGAGGTGTCTGAACTGATTTCCTGAGCAGGAGTAGTATTTATAGAGACTGGTTTAGGCTCTGAATACATGAGAACTCTCTGGGGAAGTTTAGACAAAGGCTGAGCAGGGGCTGCTTCAATGGGACTAATCTCTGCAATTGTTTCATCCACTGAAATTAACAGAAAAAAGCATGGATGAATTATATTTTTTATCAATATTCATTTTAAATACTTTCTAGAGTATCAATTAATTGCTATTTAATAACAGGAATTCTAAAACAATATATATACAATATTTCTCCTTTAAACATGTAGTTAAGTAACCAATTTATATTAAGCAGGTATAATTCATTCCCCAAGTACATTTATACAGTAATTTCTTTAATTAAGTGCATTTGGTAACAGGTTATGGCATGTGAGACGCAGTATCTCTTGTTTTTACCCTTTAAATAAATTACATAACAAATAGTTATTTGTAAGAAAAAAAATCTAAATATATTTCTACAGTGATTTACACAAAGTACTTGTAAACTTATGTACTTTTTTTCCTCGTACAAATTTCATCAAAGTTTTGATATCTGATTACTATAGGGTATTGTTTGTTATTACTTAAACTAAGTTTCTCTTTGACCTACTCTCATATAAGTTGAACCCTAAAAATATATGAAAAGCTTACATAAAAGAGAGAATCACTTTGACCTGAATCTCCTTACAGGTCAATGTATTTTCATATGTTTAAATCATTAAAATGACATCCACATTCAGTAGTATGTATTTGTTCATACAAAGGCTCTATTTTATATTATAAAGATGTAATTGTTTGTATGCTGATATCTGGGATCACTGACATATGATGAACCAATGCAGTGGCATAATTTGATAAGAAATCTGTACATGGCTTTTTTACCCTAAATTATGAAAAGGGCTGGGTCTTTTTAATTTGTAACAAGAGCTGTCGGTAGGACAGCAACGCTCGACTATTGTAAGTGCTTGATAGTAAAAAAAAATGCTTGATACAATTACCTCCTCCTGTTAACAGGTTGGGGTAATGATGGTGAACAAGTGTGCAAAGTTTCAAAGCCATATGTCAATGGACTTTGAAAATATTTGAACTATTACAAAAACTTTAACATAAATTCTAAGTCGAAAAAGGGGCATAATTCTGTCAAAATGCTTGATACAGTTACCTCCTCCTGTTTACAGGTCGGGGTCATGATGGTGAACAAGTGTGCAAAGTTTCAAAGCCATATGTCAATGGACTTTGAAAATATTTGAAGTATTACAAAAACTATAACGTAAATTCTAAGTTGAAAAAGGGGCATAATTCTGTCAAAATTCTTGATACAGTTACCTCCTCCTGTCTACAGGTTGGGGTCATGATGGTGAACAAGTGTGCAAAGTTTCAAAGCCATATGTCAATGGACTTTGAAAATTTTTGAACTATTACAAAAACTTTAACGTAAATTCTAAGTTGAAAAAGGGGCATAATTCTGTCAAAATTCTTGATACAGTTACCTCCTCCTGTCTACAGGTTGGGGTCATGATGGTGAACAAGTGTGCAAACGTTCAAAGCCATATGTCAATGGACTTTGAAAATATTTGAACTATTACAAAAACTTTAACGTAAATTCTAAGTCGAAAAAGGGGCATAATTCTGTCAAAATGCTTGATACAGTTACCTCCTCCTGTCTACAGGTAGGGGTCATGATGGTGAACAAGTGTGCCAAGTTTCAAAGCCATATGTCAATGGACTTTGAAAATATTTGAACTATTACAAAAACTTTAACATAAGTGGTTACGCCGACGCGGACACCAACGCCGACGCTCGGGTGACAACAATAGCTCTACTTATTCTTATCGAATAGTCGAGCTAAAAAGTAAAGCGCAACATTTCTTTAAAAATTGAGAAATTTCCGAATAATTATCCATATGATTGTAAAAGTAGAAATGGGATATTGACATAATTTGTGAAAGTCAATTGAGTTTATCAATATTCATAATCCAACAGTTAATGCCACATGCATAATGCAACATAAAATCGATTTTTCTGTTTGAGAAATCTTAAAACAAATAATTTAAAACTTAGAAATACCTGACACAAGAGGATGAGCATTGTAGAATTCCTCATCTATCATAGATTGCTCTGCTATTAAACTCATATCAGACTCATGGCTATAACTGTTGAATACCCTACCACCAGGTGGCGCTGTAAATTCATCAGCCTTGGATAAGTATTTCGCCATTAAGTCATCTTTATTTCCAATCTCCTTTAATGAAGTCCTAGAATTAGTAGAAAATCTATCTCATTGAAGTATTATGCAAACAAAATACTTTTTAAGTTTTTAGGCATCTTTACTCTGCTTTTTTGCAGAACACAGTATTTGCAATTGCTTACCTAAATAATTGACTTTTTTGCACAAAAAACTGTAACCAAATATAGGCATTTTCCCCAGGTCACGGAACAGTTAAAATTCCCAATTTTAACCCTTACCCTGTTGGGTCTTTCCCACCAGTATAGAACCAGACTAGCCGGCACATCTATGCAGTCTAACCAGGCTCTTTAATGATGACTGACACTTAATTCTTTTTATCTTGATATTCCAAAAATTGATAATGAACAGTTATAAAAACAAGAGGGCCATGATGGCCCTGGGGTCGCTCACCTGAACATAGGCCCCCAGGGCCGGGCCAGTTTAAACCAAAGGGCTTTTATTTGAACAAACTTGGAAGACACCCATTAAAAGATATTTCATGATGTTAAGTTTTTACTATACACAAATAATGAATAACAATGACTTTTGCCCCCTCCCCCCTCTCCCTGGCAGGGCCAATTTTGACCCAAGGGCTTTTATATGAACAAACTTGGTAAACATCCATTAGAACATGTTTCATGCTAAATATCTTAGCTCTAGCTCTTTTGGTTCTTTAATAGAAGATTTTTAACTTTTTACTCTATGTATATAGGGAAAATCAATAACCCCTGGGACAGGGCCAATTTTGACCCCAGGGCTTTTATTTGAACAAATTTGGTAGACACCCATTAGAATATGTTTCATGCTAAATATCTTAGCTCTAGCTCTTTGGGTTCTTTAAGAGAAGATTTTTTTGAGTTTTTACTATATGCACATAGGGAAAATCAATGACCCCCTGGGGCTGGGCCAATTTTGACCCCAGGGCTTTTATTTGAACAAACTTGGTAGACATCCATTAGAACATGTTTTACGCCAAATATCTAAGCTCTAGCTCTTTGGGTTTTTTAGAAGAAGACTTTTTTAAGTTTTTACTATATGCATTTAGGGAAAATCAATGACCCCTGGGCGGGGCCAATTTTGACCCAGGGTTTTTTATTTGAACAATCTTGGTAGACACTCATTAGAAGATGTTTCATGCTTAATATCTTAGGTCTAGCTCTTTGGGTTCTTTAAAGAAGATTTTTTTAAGTTTTTACTATATGCAATATAGGGAAAATCAATGACCCCCTGGGGCGGGGCCAATTTTGACCCCAGGGCTTTTATTTGAACAATCTTGGTAGACACCGATTAGAAGATGTTTCATGCTAAATATCTTAGTTCTAGCTCTTTGGGTTCTTTAAAAGAAATTTTTTTTTAAGTTTTTAGTATATGCATATAGGGAAAAATCAATGACCCCCTGGGGCGGGGCCAATTTTGACCCCAGGGCTTTTATTTGAACAAAACTTGGTAGACATCCATTAGAACATGTTTCATGCCAAATATCTAAGCTCTAGCTCTTTCGGTTCTTTAGAAGAAGATTTTTTAAGTTTTAACTATATGCATATAGGGAAAATCAATGACCCCCTGGGACGGGGCCAATTTTGACCCCAGGGCTTTTATTTGAATAATCTTGGTAGACACTCATTAGAAGATGTTTCATGCTTAATATCTTAGCTCTAGCTCTTTGGGTTCTTTAAAAGAAGATTTTTTTAAGTTTTTACTATATGCATATAGGGAAAATCAATGACCCCCTGGGGCGGGGCCAATTTTGACCCCAGGGATTTTATTTGAACAATCTTGGTAGACACTCACTAGAAGATGTTTCATGCCAAATATCTAAGCTCTAGCTCTTTGGGTTTTCTAGAAGAAGATGTTTAAAGTTTTTTCTTTTGGTTGCCATGGCAACCAGAGTTCTGCATGGAATGGAATTCTTTGAACAACTTTGTTAAGGCTTCACACAAGAAACATCCCTGTGAAGTTTCATTATGATCTGCCTGATGGTTTCAGAGGAGATGTCGTTTGAAAAGTGTGAACGGACAACGTACGACGGACGACGTACGACGGACGAAGAGTGATCCTAATAGCTCACCCTGAGCATATGCTCAGGTGAGCTAAAAAATTGGAAGTTAAGAAATTCATCAGATGGAGAATATTCAGGCTGTCCAGCACCTTCTGACAAAAAATTAGGGCAAATTTTAGGGCAATTTTTAAAAAAAATTAGGGCTAAAATTAGGAATTTTATGGTAAATAAAAGAAATTTTAGGGCTAAAATTTGGAATTTCATAACTAAATTATGACCTCAAAACACCATGATATGGGCTCAACTTTGCATATTTGACTCAAAAGTAACTCACAAATAATGCTCTAGTTCAGTTATAGCAAAGGTCTTACCAGTGTTCCATAGTCACCAGTGAATAAATGGATTCACTGGTCAACTGCCTTTAAAAAGAGCTGAAAAACTACATTAAAACATAACTAGAATGAAAACATTTTCAAAGTTATAAGTATCCCTGAACAACCAATATTCAATTACCTAAGCTATGATTAGCTAATAATAAATGGAAGGGGAAATTATGCTTTAAATTTATTTTAGCTATAAATGCATTTATTATCAACATTTATCATTTGAAGGTTGGTACATTTTAATCAAGTCTTGATCTTTCTTAAAAAAATAATAAAAACATTATGACCCACTCAAATCATTCCCAGGAATATTAAAACTTAAATTCAAACAGCAGGGTATACACCTATGAAGAATTTGTTCAAGATAAATCAGGCTACTAAAAATTGTAGAAATTTCACAACAGTGTCAGTTTTTTCAATGATTTTCAACAGTTTTTTTCCAGATTTTAAAAAACTTACATTATATGTTATAACATATGTTCAGTACATGTTAATGTATACGAAGGTGTCACTTCTTAGTACCCTAATTGGGTAGCAAAATGGTTAAAGCATCCAATCATTACTGCCAGTTTACCTTACCCACTTTATAATTAGCAAAGGAAACTTGTCTAGATCTGCCAGCTAGTATCACTTACAAAAGATCTGTTCTACAGTCATCACTTGAAAATAACTTGATTACAAATTAACATTTTATTAATAAGGACCCCTTCATAAAGTTTAATGAAATTTAGTGGTTCATCATGTAAATAGTTTCTTTAAATACACTTAAGACTGAGGTAAATGGTAAAAAATCTATAGCCAATAAAAATGTAACTTCCTTGGAAATTTTTTTATCACAATTTTAAACAGGTGATTATTTTGATATAGTCAAAGTCGGACAATTTTCATTTTTCCATTTAAAACAAACAGTTTCTTATTATTTTTCTGATAATATCTGGAAATTAATCAAGTATGGCATTTCTGCAGGAGTTGAAGTAAATACAACATGTGACTTTATGCAATTTAGTCAGACATGACATCAGCTCCACTGACTGTGTTCGAATATTGATTGAAACATGGTTGTTTCGCGATATGTTTATCACAAAAGATAAAAAAATAGGAATTTAAGTGAAAAAATAGGGCTTTTTTAGGAATTCCCTTTGAATTTTTCATTTTTTTAGGAATTTTAGCCAAACTGAAAAAAATTAGGATTTTTTAGGAATTTTAGGGACGCTAGACAGCCTGAATATTATAAAGTTGTCTATGCAAAATCTTAAAATTGTGAAGACCAGCTCCATGTCTTACTGACTGTTTACATGTGAATTATGAAAATGCCATGTATATATACATTTTTTTAATTATCATCATCTGAAAAAAGCTAAATTATTCCAATATTTATATGCTTACCATGATAAAATCTTCAAACTTAAATGACGAGGTTATGACAAACATTGTTACCATCCTACGGGCAGGTTACCTTAGGATGGATATTACAATGCAACATGACAGATCTCATGGATAAATGAACCGCAGAAACTCCTCAGACTTGATACCGCTGTTAACAGTTATCCCCCTGAGGCAGATATTTTATTTTGAACTGGCAGTCAGTGTATAAATCTTTGTTGTTAATTGTTAAAGTTGTTAATTTTCAAACATATCACAAAACCAGTATATTTATTAAGGTAGAACATTTTTTTGGTTGGGTTTAACATTGCACAAACATTGTAAAGGTCTTATGGAGACTAGATTAAATGGTGGCGAAAGACCTCAGATGCCCCTCGTGCAGTCTTTAAGACACAGGTAGATACCCGAGTACAACCACTGACATTCCATCACCTAGCTACACAGCTTCCACACATGAAAGAATCCAAAATCTCTGGCAGAATTTTTCTCTTAAATTTGAATATTTTTACCTTGAAGTTGACTTATTCATTGAAGAATTGTTGCCAAGAGAAGATGATCTAAAACTGTGGTCTTTTTTCCCCTAGAACCCAAAAAACTGGAAAATTTATCATCCCTTTCTTGGTTATATATTTTCCCTTGAATTAAATCATGGACTTTGGGTTTAAACCCTCATTTTGGGAAGATTACGCATGTTTTTCATTTTCTCTGTAAAATAAAAAATTTTGGGTTAAAAACAAGAATGAACAATTTTCCCGAAAAAAAAAAAAAAACCCCTTTCAGCTTATTTTATAAGTAATAACAAACAAAAGTTTGGGGCGTAGAATTTGCCCTGGCCCTTTTTCTTTAAAAATAGAAAACAAGGGTAGTGCTTATTAAAGTTAAAAAACAAAGAATAATTCGGGGGGTTTAGAGCTCCCCAGTCCTCGACAATAAATCTTAACCCTTTTGGCCCAACCACTTGTGAAATTTCTAAATCCACAGAATGATAGAACTTACATATTAAAATCCAATATTTAATGTCAATGAAATTGGTAACTAAAGAGACTTCAGCGAACAGGTTTTATAGTACTACTAGACTTGTAGCCTTAGCAAATAGGGTTGACCCATAACTTTACTGTCACACACGTCAAAATAAAAGCGACATATAAAGTTATGGAAGCCAGAACAATGAAATTGGTAGGATCTCAATTTCACCAAGTGATCATGCAAAAATGAAGTTTGAATCAAATCCATGAATCGCTTATTTAATGATTCCTGGATAGTGCATAAAACACAACAGATTAGGATACAGATGCCTTTACATTCCACTATTGTATCAATCTACATAAGGACACAGGAGGGACAAACAGACAAAAATCACAATTGTTCCCCACAAGAAGCTAGGATATAAAACAGGGATTTTTTTGCTATTTCATAGCCCGATTATTCCGGACTCCATCACTTCCCAAAAATGGTAAAATAGTTATAATTTTTTCCCCAACCCACGGGAAAAAAACCCCAAAGAAATTTTACGAAATAAAAATATTAAATAAAAAATTCTAAAATTTTTAAAAAAAAGAAAACCTACAATGTTTTTTAGGGGTTTTAAATTATTAAAAGTTTGCCACCCTATAAAAACGGGTGATTTTTTGGCATTCTTTTAAAATAAATCATCCCTTTTTTTAAACAAAAAAAAAACCAAAAAATTCCCTTTTTCCAGGGGTATGGGTCTTTTTCCCCAAAATTTCCCCCTTGAAAAAAAACCCTTTTAAAAATCAACACTGACAAGAAAAATTTTGGTTGTTTTACCCTTCCCAAAACATTTAAGCATTTTTCAAAAATTTTAGATAAACCCGGGAGCCCTTTAAAATCTCCCCAGATTAAAGTTTTTAAAAATTTTTAATTTAAGGGGCCAAGCTTCAGCTGGGCAAAAATTTTTGGAGAAAATCATTTCTTAAAAATTAAATGAGTGTGACATGATGTTAACTTTGGAAGGAGATTAATATTTTTGATTTGTAACTGATCTGGGGGCCCCAAAATAAATTTGGGGGAAATTAATTTTAAACCCTTTTAAATTTCCCAAATAAATCCCTAAAATGCAAAAAAAACCATTGTTGGGACTGTAAAAAAAATGGAAATTCGACCCTTATTTTTTTTAAAAAAAATTTGCACACCCCAATTTATATGGTAAGTTTTACCTGTATTCGTTGCTGAACTTCAACTTGTATCTGTTCATCTTTGATCCCTACAAGACGCTTAAGTCTATTTAACTCTACAATATATTCCTGATTGCTAGAACGAAGGGTTTGTGCTTCCGTGTTAAGACGCCTGATCTCTTGTCGAGCTTTGGCTAAATTTTGGGCAAGGGCACGGTTGTTTGCTCGCAATGTTTGTTTCTGCACCGACATGTTAAGAACTGTAAACAATAAACAAATAATAATACGTATAACTCACTAATGTATAATTAAAGTTATGTCAAATATATAAATTATGAACATATGTTTATAAAAGGTAAATAATATAAACAATAAGATTTAGAATTTATAATATCACTGCAGCAAAAAATGTTATATAGCATTCAAATTATAACATTATTATAAATATCTAGAACTGTCATTGATTCAGTGCAAAGCATATCGGCAATATATTGATACTTGATGACAAATTATGCCAATATACTGAGTCACTGATATAGTGATAATTACCTAAAATTACTTGTCTATAATTCACTTTCATACCTGTTTAAATGGTTTTATTAAAAAACCTGTTCAGTTTTCATACAATTATGGCGTGACTTGTTCATAAATGCCCCGGACTAGTTTTTGTCAACACTGCTATAAAATATTTCCACACACCTGCTTCTGTATATGTTTACAGTAAATTTTCATATTTTTACTTTCTTCTTATCTAATTAGTCAGTTATCAACTTTTTTTTCAAATGTGAAACAGAAAAATATGGAAGACACATCAATATTATCTCTAAAAGTATTATTAACAGCTCTATAAATACCAATATGTAAGTCATACATGTAGCAAACAAGCGTTTTATGGGTTTTTTCCAGAATATTTAGCCCCTGTCTTCCTACAGCAGTGTTTTTTTTTAATTTTGGGCCATCCTTAAAATAATATTCGTTTGCAGTAACGCGACCGACTCACAAAATTTGCCCCTACTCAAATTTTTTTTTTCATGGTCTGGACAATTTTTTTTTTTTTAATCAGAAAATTATGCCTTGTTCTTTTTTTTCGTTCTTTTAAAGGTTAATAGAAGAAATAAAATGTAGGTCTTATTAAATTAGAATTCAGTTTTCTATTTATTAATTGTTACCAGATTATCAAAGCATATATTGTCCAGCATATTGAAATTCCATGTTTATTTGGGAGTACAGTTAAATAAAAAGAAAAGAAAAAAAAGAAATCGACCTACCTACCCACCTTGAAAAAACTTGGTTGGGTTACTGCAAACAAACATTTTTTTAAGGATGGCCTTGGCCTAATCCTTTTACTAGAATGCATACCCTAAACACTATAATATGTGGTCACACAACTTACAGGGGTTTTTTTTAGGAAAAGGGGAGACGATGGACGTTGCTAGGGAGCAGAAAAAACATACGAAAAAGGTCAATTTGGTGGAAATTATGACGTTAACAGAAAATTCATGTTACTCATACAAGATACTAAACTATATAGTAGCTAGAGTCAGTAACAACTATATCTTTTTCCCCTTAAAAACTTTATCATCATGCAAAATATTATTATTTGCAGTACAACATCTTAATATGTATGGTGGTGAATTATTTTTACACTTCATTTTTTGCATGAAATAAATACATATATAGGTATAAATTACTATAATAGTGTATCTATGACATACTTTTGCTCCATACAAGTCATTTTCATAATTAGAAATACAAAAGATCTTACTTTACTAAAAAAAATAACCATAAAAACGATGATATTTTGATAGTATTTGATTTCCAGAAATAGTACTGTTTAATATGGTAAAAAAAAACATCATTTAAGCCATATAAATATCTAATCTGATCTAGTTTATAGAAGGGAAAATAGAATTTTTTGGGGAAAAAACTTGGCTATTTACTGAGGGGAACATGCTGACTAGTACCGGTGTCAATTTGTTAGTAAACATAAACCTCTGCCTTACAAGATCAGATTTCTCAAAAACCTAAATGTCTGGCAAAATAATATTTACTCCTGATTTCTCTCATAGGTTCTCTCTCTGTTTTGGGGGATGTTCCAGGGAACAGTACCTGTACTTGCAGGAGGGTGCCTGATTTCATTAATTGAAGACCCTGTCTCAATTAAGACATTTTACAAATTGTACCAAAACTGACGTAAAACACAGTCACTGCAAACTAACTGACAAATAAAATAAGCAGCTTAATTTGGGTACAATTAAAATGAAACAACATACAACTAAAGTTTTTTGGTGTTGTAACTGATTTTAGTTTGCCCTTCGAGATATTCATGTCTGGCTTCTTCTTGACTCTTTTAATGCCTAGTTTCTTTCCTTTCCCTACCCCAGTCACCTCCACATCTGTTGCAGCCTCAACATGTTTACCTACAGGAGTTGTCATGCCAACACTAGGTAAGCTGTCTCCACCACCACTTGTATCCTGCAATAAAATCATAATTATATTAATCAGATAAACAAAATTATGTTATAATAGCCATATACAAACTTAAATTTAAATTATTAACATTTTTTTAAATGAATAATGTTAGGTTTATATAAGATATAAAATAACATTTTTTGTTGTGAATCATTATTTTGATTTGAGGGCATGAAGAATTTGACTAGTTACAGAAAGATAGAATATAGGACAATTCTTCTAGAATGTTCCCTATGGGAAATGTTAATTTCATGAGCATGCAGTATTAACAGAAGGCTTGTATTGCTGGGCAAAAGTTCAAGCCAGCATATGTGAGTCACGTACAACTAGCCTAGATACACAGTTTTACAGCATTAATTTTATAAAATAAATAGCAATAATGAATATCATAGACTTAAATTGACTTGACATTACTTTAATGACATATGTAGGTCAATTACCAGCGGTAGTTAGATTATAACATAATATTTTTAATAATATTGTAATTAACACAAAATTTACATCAGCTAACGAAAACTACAGTTACTTTCTTGATTAAACAGGCTATCAATTGGGCTTAGACATAAAATATCATATTTCTAGAAAAATAATATTTATGTTTCTTTGTCACTCATTTTGTTTATTCAGCGTTGATATATGATAAAAATCAAAATCATAATATTTTGGTTATCTTTTATTTTCTTAGAATTATTTCCCTTTTTTCCATTTTCTAGAAACAAAATATTTGAAGTTCATAAAAATTATATTGTAATGTAAAATTCTAAATAGAAATGTGTCCAACAACTTCATTTTGCTCTTGATTATTGCGCCAATACCTTTATGATTAAATATTCTGTTTCTGGCATTTATATTTTGACAATTCTTTGACACCGAACATTATACTTTGAATGAAGTGTATGCGGACAGGTGTTGGCGCAATGAGTATAAAAGAAGTTATTTAACATATTTTGTTTTACAGTTTGCCTATGTGTCACAGGGTGAGAAAAATGTGCAGCCTGACCGGGACTCGAACCCGGGACCCCGGAATACCGTTCCGCGGCTCTACCGACTGAGCTATCGGCCGCTTACACATCTTTCCCCTTAATAGTGAACAGTTCTGAACTGTGACATACTCCCCTGCTTTATTGAAATTTGTCCCTCGAATTTCACAGAGTTACAGAGCAATGTAAATTAAAACTCTGAGCATATTCAGTCACGGCCCCACGTTGGGCGCCAAATGTCACAGGGTGAGAAAAGTGTGCAGCCTTGACCGGGACTCGAATCCGGGACCCTCGGATTACCGTTCCGCGGCTCTACCGACTGAGCTATCCGGCCGCTTACACATCTTCTCCCCTAATTAATGAACAGTTCTGAACCGTGGCATACTTCACCACAATATTGAAATTCGTCCTCGAATTTCACAGAGCTACAGAGCAATGCTAATTGAACTCTGAGCTAGAGGCAGTCACGGCCCCACGTTGGGCGCCAAATGTCACAGGGTGAGAAAAATGTGAAACCTGACCGGGACTCGAACCCGGAATACCGTTCCGCGGCTCTACCGACTGAGCTATCCGGCCGCTTACACATCTTCTCCCCTTAATAGTGAACAGTTCTGAACCGTGACATACTCCCCTGCTTTATTGAAATTCGTCCTCGAATTTCACAGAGTTACAGAGCAATGTAAATTAAACTCTGAGCATATTCAGTCACGGCCCCACGTTGGGCGCCAATTGTCGCAGTCCAAAAGATAAGGGGGTTTCTGATGGACGCTGTGGGTTAAAGTACTTGGGACCTGGACAGAGGGTCTGTAAATACACAAATTATGCGCTTTCAAATAATTTTATTAGCATTAGAAAATCGCGGCTCTCGCCATCAAAATCTTACAAAATAGTGCAAAATACAAAATATCAATGAAAATGATGAATGACAAAATGGAAAGAATGAATCAGAGCATCAAAACAATCTACCAGTTTACCTGTAAATACACAAATTATGCGCTTACAAATAATTTTATTAGCATTCGAAAATCGCGGCTCTTGCCATCAAAATCTTACAAAATAGTGCGCATGCGTAGTGTAGTGAATCAATGAAGTAGAAAGTTAGAAAGAGAGGCCCGTAATGGTGGTTAGTATATGATCAATATGGGGATGAATGAAAAGTATGATGAAAATTAAAGCTATAGGACATTTAATAGGACAAACAATAACACATATAAACATGTACCGTACTAAGTATATGAACCTGTAAAATACATTTTAAGGATTTCAAAAATTATGTGTTATAAAAACATGAAAAAAGGGAAATAAATCTCACAAAAGTGACTGTAGCCAAATATTTTCTTTCTGTTTATGTCAAATATTATTCTCAATAAAGAAACAAAGTTTAAAAGAAATATCTTTATTTCTTTTCTAGTAATATGATTTTTTTATGAGTCCATCAAGAATTTTCACCAGCCTGTTAAAGGTTCAGGGCTCTCAGTAGGGTCAGAATTTCACGAGTCAAAGACTCTTTGGCCAAAATTTTCATGAGTCAAATAATTGTTTTCTAGTGTCATTTGACTACATGAATCATTTTTATGTTACAATAATTACTGTATTGGAGGTCATTTTGTGTAGATTCTAAAGTCTAAATTGATAATATTTAACATGGAAAAAATGCCTTGTTATAATGTATATATACCCCCCCCCCCCCCAAAAAAAAAAGAAGAAAAAAAAGACAACAAAAAACAAACAAATAAAAAAAATGAATAGCATCTTTACTGTGAAAGAATAAATTAAGCAGCAGCTTTTCTGATTAAAAGTTTAAAATATAAAGAAATATCTTTACTGGTATGCTATTTTAAATACCAAATACCAAAATGCACTGGAAAATAACAAATGTACAGGCACTCCAAGTAAATCAAAGACGTATTATAAACCTTTAAAAGCAATCAATAATTGACACCTCAAGTATGTAATTCTTATCAGTTGTGTAGAGCTATTTTTAGCGCTGTCAAATTGCATCCAATGATGTCGCGCTTCAGTGCACAGGCTATAAACAATGCTGTGTATTACACACGGTGACATTTTTTTAGTGTGATTTGAACATGTGTAGGATTTGATAGGTAATTAGGTGTGGATTTAAGGTAATTATTATTGCATAGCTGAAAATCCCACGTGGCAAATTGACTCTTGAGCAGATTTTATCACGTGTCAAATTTGTGCATTTCCTGATTTTCACGAGTCAAAACCCGGATCCCCGTGTCAATCGAGAGCCCTGAGGTTAATTAATTTCTGAAAGACATACAGCTTTTGACCGACATACATATTTAGGGGGAAATGATGCCAAAATTCATGAAATTAAAAGGCAATTCCAAAATGCAAACCAGTGTGTGTTCACCTTTAGGTGCCCATGGAGGAATGAAGACGGAAAACTCATAATGTGTTGAAATTATATTATCAAGCAAGGCCAAAACACCATTTTTGGGGAAGGGGCTTCAGCCTTTTTCTTGGGGAAAATTATGCGATATTTTGGCATTATAAAAGTATATGCACAGCGCGTTTTCTGTTTCGATTATTATTGAGTACGAAACTTCATGATGATATATTTCTAACAGTGTATCCAGTGATGTCACTAAATTCATTATGAAGAAATTGTACTTTTTCATATTTTTTTAAATCCTCACATTTGAAACAATTTACAGATGGATAATTTTACCTTTTGTTTCATTGTTTTGCTGACAATTCAAATTAACTTGACAGCATTATTGGAGAGGTCATCAGACCTCTCCATAGTGTTCAGACTGATTGCTGGCGGCATCCATTTTTGCGTATCTGATTGTAGTGAATGAATCTCATTTTAAGCGTAAAATCATTAGGAGCAGTCTACAAAAATTGTTTTGCGCATGCCCCGTTTCAAAATACGGCTTAACTTAAACGAAAAATTAACATCGAAGTGAAAAAAATCGGTACATAGAAAAATCGGAAAATATCATTTACGTTACTTAGCACTACGTGAATGTTTCATTCCGTTTAATCTTTTAAACTTTATAAATCGATTACCGTATTGTTTTCTGAATAACGTTTTACTATTTTATGCTCCGATAAATAGTAACAGTGAACATGATAGCTACAATATCAACAAGCATTATATATACCGCCTCCGTGGTCGAGGGGTTAGAGTCGATGACTTCTAATCCAGTTACCTCTCTGGCGTGGGTTCGATCCCCAGGAGATGCTTTGGTAATTTAGCGCGGAGAAAGGTTGTCTAGTACTGGTGTAACTCTCCAGGAACGATGATGAGGAAACTACCCGCCTATATGACTGAAATACTGTTGGGAAAAGGCGTGAAATGAAACAAACAAACACTATTATATGACCGAATGAACCGTGTATTGAACCGGTATGTCTGAATAACGCAAAGGGAATTTTTTTGGCGCAAATGGCACAAATTTTACCTCAAGTTTTATTTTCTTCTAATATTAATAATAATTGTGCATGGAGGCATGCAGCTTTATATACTGTTTATTCCAACAGTACATAACACTGTATACTGTTTATTTCAATAAAATGATATTAACATTTTTTATGTAAACCCTGGACTTGAAATTGTTTGATTAACATACATTATACCCGTTTTGGAAAATGTAGAGGAAATATTTCATTATATTTAACAAAACAGTGACCGAAAATTTGCTTATTGAACTTTACTAGAAACTTTTATTTTGATACTACTTTTAACATGTATATATACTTTTTCTACAAAGGGAACTGAATTTAAAATAGAAATGTAAATGATATGTATCATTTAATTTACATTAAGTAGTTTTACATTTTTTTTGTAGAAAAAGTTTCCCTTATGCGCCAAGAAAAAAAATCCATTTCTCCGGCATATAATTTTTTTAAAACATTAAAAAAGATGAAGTGTAAAACAAACTTTCATTGCAATATATATAATAAATTCTATTTTGTTTAATAATTGTAATTTATAACCATCCATTGTGTCTTTTATGCCATATAATATCCCCAAATATTTTCGAATTAAACAAATCTACCACAGCAGCAAAAATACCTCTCGCATGCTTCTTTTTAAAGAAGCAAACTTGTCGTATTTACCGCTCGTTTGAAAGCTTCTCACCGATTGGTTATTGCTCTGCATTGTTAATCACGAAATGAGTACCTTTTCGCGAAATGGCATTATTTATCATTTGGGGGCCTGAAATTAATTTTCAAATACCCTTTAGGTTCAGAAAACCTTACATCAACACAAACTATATTCTTTTTTCTTCATATGACTCATAAAAAATATTCATTGACTTATTGATTTAAACTATGTACATAATTTTTGTTTCATCGCGATTATGCTCTATATGAAGAGAGAGGCGATTACTGAAAACCGTACATCAACACAAACAATATTCTTTTTTCTTCATATGACTCATAAATAAAATATTCATTTACTTAAACTATGTACAAAGTTTTTGTTTCATCGCGATTATGCTCTATATGAAGAGTGAGGCGATTACTGAAGATGGTGATGAATATGAAGTTATTATGCTTTGTTGAGTAAATACTGAATTCTTTTTGGTAGAGCATAAAGCTGTCAGGCCTATATTGTAATATAGGGTGTGGTCAGCGAGAGCTTATTAAAAGTATAAACTGTCATCTATTGTTATTATATCTATCAAGATATAACATTACCAGTTATGAGTGATGAAAAGTGGCATACATAAATAACTAAAAAAGAGATATGTGAATTCACATTTAATAAATTTGAAGCATAGAGCAATATATATATGGCCACTGCAAATTTGACGCCATAAGGCGAAAAACAAAACTGTGTCGGACAATTGTTTTTATTTAATATAGCCGGATTAAGAACCATTTTTAAAATTTAATCTCCATCATGATATGATAACATGTATGAATAAGACGGGACACGTTTCTTTCAAAATTGGAAAACGTATTTGTAGTAATGAACATTGATTCAAAACAAAAGAAGAAAATATTTATTAATTATAAGTTTTCATTTATAAAAGACAAAAGCAAAGTTCAGGTTAAAGAATGTATTTAGGTATACGTGTACCATGGATCACTTGAAATACATATCAAATTCACAAAGCACATATAAACAAATTATCAATGTGTGACTTTCATAAGTCATCAAATCAAACTGCTCTGTTATTCAACTTGCAAATACACTTATAATCATTCAAATATAATATTCTCCATAAAGACCTACTAAGAGATTGTCATAACATCTCCTTAGTAGTATAATCTTCAAGACTGGCCGTTACCAGCTTGCAAGATTTAGCCTTTCCTGAGATTCAATGAGTCCACATTGATAGAAATTTAAAATGTAGAAAAACAAAATAATTCTAACAAAAGTTGAATATGAAATTATTAGATAAGAAAAAAATATTTAAAAGGTATTTGTTTTACATATTATTTCCGCAACAAAAGAAACTGGGCAAATAAATGTCTGTGTGGAAATGAGAGAAGCTAACAAAGCAATGGTTCGTGAAAGACACGCCATATCGAAAAAAGAAGAAGAACTCGCAAAACAAAATAATTCAAAATTAAAAAAATCAGTAGAACTAGACTTTTTGTCAATTTACGAAATGCCAACCTGTTGACATTCAGTCGCATTTGTTTAAAATTGTACATCAGTTGGCATATTTAAATAAAAAATGATTGTCAGACATATTTCCAATCATAGTTGTACCGAAACAGACTTATTTTTCTTTTGGATGTCAATTATATGAACATTCGTTTTACATCTCTCTCTCTTTATGTTTACATCTGAAACCATATGTGGTAGAACTACTTATTTTGTTCGATATCGTAACAAAAAAAAATAAGATGTTTTCCCAAAAAATGAATGTTTGTCACTTTGGTTACAATAATTTTTTAACACAGATCATCTATTAAATTTATTTATTACTATTATACATAAATATACAATTCTGAAAAATTACAATAGTATGTTTCATTTTATTTATGTTAGATAAAAACAATAAATATATATAATCAGGCATATCCCGGAACAACCATTTTTCAATCACAACCTAAATTCAAACACATTCTAAAATCTGCAGCGTTGATGTCATGTTATAGAAAATTACATAAAGTCACCCGTTGTATTAACTTCAACTCCTACAGAAATGCTTGAATAAATGTCAGATGTTATCAGAAAAACATTAAGAAACTGTTTGTTTTAAGTTAAAAAATGTAAATTATCCAACTTTTAAAATATCAAAATAGTCAATTGATTAAAATAGTGATAAAAAGTTTTAGAAGAAAGCTAAACTTTTTATAAAAAAATGGCTACTTAGTTTTACCATTTACCTCAAGCCTTACGTGTATTTAAAATAATTATTTATATGATCTACCACTAAATATTCATCAGACTTTACATAGGGTCCTTACTTATAAATCATAATTTGTAATTAAGTCTTTTAAGTGATGACTTTTAGAACAGATTTTTGTAAGTGATACCAGCTGGCAGATCTGGACATGTTTCCATATTTGGTAATATCATAAAATGGTGGATAAAATGGCTGTGATGGTTGGATGCATTTATCATTTTGCACCCCAAAAAGATAACTAAGAAGTGATACCTTTAAATGCCCCTTTTGTGCACAGGTTTATTGATTGGTTCATTTTGCCTGGAGTTTACATATTGTGACGACAGAGAAAGGGATAGCGATGGAAATATCATATTCAGATGCTCGTTTATTGGTTACTTTTTTCTGGGGTTTTGTATTATGACATCAGGGAACGTGATTATATTTTTGACTACGATACAAAAGAGAAAGAACATCAAAACACTCGGCAATCTGATTTCTATTACATATGCTATAATATCTATTGTAAGTTTTTTTAAAATCTTGAAAAAAAAATTGTTAAAAATTGTTGAATAGACGGTTGTGAAATTTTCTACATTTTTTTTTAAAGATAAAGTTCTCTATTTCTCTCGTCATGGATATGTGGGGGTTGAGGGCATCCCCTCCATACCTTGCAAAGATGTTATTTATCATATTATATATACATGTATCAAATATTTGTTGATTAAGTAACAATTATTGTCATTGAGTATTTATCACAACTTCACATTTCCACATTAATATATACACATGTACATACACAACATAATATACAAACAAAATCACAAGGGAAATAAAAGAAGAGAAAAAAGGAAAGGTAGCTCATACATTAGACAGAGAAAACATTACGTAGTTGTTTCTTATACTCAAACTTTTAACAAAAAGCAATGGCTGAATATTAATTAATTATAAATTTACTTTACTTTAAAATGAATTAAATGATTTTTTGAACAATTGTCCAATTCATTATGTTATCTTTTGTATTTGTTGCACATGCATCAATAATTGAAGAGGCTAATTTAAAACTTCTAACTATTCCATCTATATTTGGTAAAATATTTTTTCTCCTACATAAATAAACATATTTCTTTATCTCTATACATAGGATATTGTATTTTGACTGGCTCTTTTTTGTATTATTGTATTTTCTACATTTTTAGTAGCACTGACATATCTTTAGGTTAAAATACTCCTTGGTCATACTGTTTTTGTTTTGTTTTCTAAGCAAGATTAAGTCTTTTTGAAAATGTACTAACCATAAAATTAATAAATGTTGATAGATGCATTAATATTTAGCTAAAATTAATTTAAAGCATCATTTCACCTTTCATTTATTATTGGCTAAAACAGCATAACTGGTTGAATATTGGTTGTTTAGGGATACAATACTGTAATTGAATAAAAAAAGTACATTTTTATTTTATTCACATGGTATTAATATGACACACTCAACTATTAGCTTTTTTTCTTTCTGTAATTATTTGTAAACCGACTTAAAGCTTCTTGTATCTTGTATTCACCGTTCCGTGTTTTAAGTACAAATTCCAGATAATAATTTATTCGCGCTTTAAATATACCGATTAAATTTTCTATTTTTAGAAATGGAGATTTCCCTTTAATACGTCACAAGGGAAACGTAAACACCATGGTTGACAGTGAAAGCAGGTAGCATGAATGGGTAAAACATGTCTTTGCCACGTTTCTTCAGGAGGCATCGCCTAACTTGGAAATTATTGTCATTTATAGCTTTAGTTTTAATTGTTTTATACTTTTTCTTTGGCAACAAATCCGTGAACGATTTTACTCGCGGATCTAATAATGAAGTGGGAGAGGAGGTTCTAAAATTTAGACGAGAACGTTTTGAAAAGTACCAAGCTTCAGAGGCCGGTAGAACAGGACCTGGAGAAAAAGGGCTAGGATTACACCTCAGCGGCAAGGAAAAAGAAAAGGCTGACTCGCTTATGGATAAAGAGGCGTTTAATATCATTGCAAGTGATAAAATATCATTAGAAAGATCTGTCAGAGATGTAAGGGATAGCAGGTATATTGAATATATTCATTATTTAATTTACATTTTTTCATGAGATTGCTGGCTTTGAATCACATGTCCATTTATGCATAGCATTCAGTTCTTACCTGGGGCATATTTGATACCTACACGCTGGCTTCTGTATATGTCAAACCACTCGCGTGGTATAATTGCGGGGTATGACTAATTACCGAATATGAATTCATATTCGCGAAGATGAAGAGAATACCGAATATGAATATTATTTTCATGAAATTTTGGCGTAGAGTCAAAAATTGACACTTAGGATAATAACAATGTACCATGGTGAATATTTGCTATGTGAAAAGTGAAAAAAATAAAGTATTATTTGATTATGATTAAGGTGGGCTGGCGCGATAGCTCGATATCTATCAGTTGGTTGGACCTAAAACAGTCACTCCTGAGATCCAGGGTTCGATATTTGGTAACACCCTTGGGATTTTTCAGAGACACTTTCAGTGTTTCCCACCTACCTAGAGGAGTACTGGTAAGAAATCATCTACGCATGTATCAGTGCTATACACTGGGCATGTAAAAGAACCAAGGGATCTATATATAATACTCTAAGAGCTAGGGACTGGTTCCCGGATTCCCTTGTATCTCATAGTTGTCTCTCAATTCAATGTATGCAATGTATACCTGCTTAGTGTAATTGTAAACAATTTTGAAGCAGTATAATGTAGATGTAGATTAGTGTTGTTTGTAAATTACTGTGACAAAATGAAAGCGATAAACGGAAATCCTTACGCATCTTTATTTAGGAATTATGTGTACAATTTCTATCAATCATAAATAAGAAATTCATTCAAGTTAAGTGTCAGATGAGGACATAATGTTATGTATACAATGGATTAAATACTGCTGCAAATATATATGCGGCCCTGAATATGGAAGAGGATGCCGAATATGTATGTCATTATAATAAATGTATGGCCTATATATAAATTCCAAAGCACTACTATATATTATTTTGATATAGATCTAGCATGATTTATATTCGTTTAACTAATTTTCATTAAGCAAATATAAACCATGACATTTATGACTGTAAGTAAATGTGTCTATTTTTCACTTTTATGAGATATTTTATACATAAATAATAATGTTCATATTTGTTATGCTTTTTAGCTCGACTATTCGATAAGAATAAGTAGAGCTATTGCAGTCACCAGAGCGTCGGCGTCGGCGTAACCACTTATGTTAAAGTTTTTGTAATAGTTCAAATATTTTCAAAGTCCATTGACATATGGCTTTGAAACTTTGCACACTTGTTCACCATCATGACCCCAACCTGTAGACAGGAGGAGGTAACTCTATCAAGCATTTTGACAGAATTATGCCCCTTTTTCGACTTAGAATTTACGTTAAAGTTTTTTTAATAGTTCAAATATTTTCAAAGTCCATAGACATATGGCTTTGAAACTTTGCACACTTGTTCAACATCATGACCCCAACCTGTAAACAGGAGGAGGTAACTCTATCAAGCATTTTGACAGAATTATGCCCCTTTTTCAACTTAGAATTTACGTTAAAGTTTTTGTAATAGTTCAAATATTTTCAAAGTCCATTGACATATGGCTTTGAAACTTTGCACACTTGTTCAACATCATGACTCCAACCTGTAAACAGGAGGAGGTAACTCTATCAAGCATTTTGACAGAATTATGCCCCTTTTTCGTCTTAGAATTTATGTTAAAGATTTTGTAATAGTTCAAATATTTTCAAAGTCCATTGACATATGGCTTTGAAACTTTGCACACTTGTTCACCATCATGACCCCAACCTGTAAACAGGAGGAGGTAACTGTATCAAGCATTTTTTTACTATCAAGCACTAAGAATAGTCGAGCGTTGCTGTCCTACTGACAGCTCTTGTTCATATACGGGTATCTTTCTGTTCACAATTATTTACAAATTACAACCATAATTCAGAAATTCAATTTTTCTTAATCAAAGACATATGATACAAGTAAATGATACATAAAATGGTCTCTGTTGACGAAAAAAAATCCCAAAAGAGAAAAAATATTCATATTCGTGACTCCAGTTCATATTCAGGATTATGAGTTCATATTTGGTATAATATGACAAACAGATAATTGCGTTTATAGGTAAATTGATTGTGTCTAGTGCCTGTGGTTTAGATATATAATTCTGTAGCATACTGGGCACCTGTTGACACTGTGGTAATCCAAATACATGTAAATTTGCATCCATGGCAACACCTGTTCTCAAGAAAAAGGAGAACTGATTATAGTTTTTGGGTAAAATTATATTACAGTGAGATAGTACATGATCTAAGGATCGCTAAATGTGTGGGTTGAAACCCCATTTGTGGCAATGCTGTTTTTTCCCTTGAGCAAGAAACTTTACTCGTTGCTCAGTACTGGTTGGTTCCAGGAATGGATATGAGACTGCGTCTATTATCTATAAGGTCATAGCTTCCTGCATAATCAGACTAAAATAAATATTGTCTAAAAAACTAGATATACCGTATATTTCAAAAAACTGCATTGTAGATTGAAAAAATTAACCATACTGGTTGGAGAGATAAACTTGAAACTAAATCACACTGATATAATTATGGATTCTGCCACTTCTATATTCAGTATGTTCATACATATTTACAAACTGTTTTCCAACCAGTCAGTGTCATTTTTAAATTTATTGAAAAGATAATAAATTGAACTGTGGGAATTCCAGGTCTTTTATGATTTGGCAAGATTTTACTTCTGCTAAAAGTTATTTATAACAGCTTTTCAGGATATATATATAGTATAATTACTATTCACTTATATTTTGAATATTTAAACATTTCTTGAACAATCAATACAATACTTTTTCTTAATACTGTATTTTAAGGTGGATATTTCCGGTTGTTGAAAAATGGGTGATTTTAAAATTCCAGATATTTTGCGTGAGGATTTTATCAATTTACAAAATTTGCCAATATTTTCGCATCGCTAACTTAACCACTTATACAGTATTCTGAAACTTTCTTGTATCAATAATCTGGAGGTGTCCACTATTACTTAAGAAGACCTTGCGGTGTTACAGGAAGTAATAAGTTAGGCTATAATTTCTGTCGGCAATTAATAGATAAATGGTGGTGAATTATGAAATTTGCTAGTGAGTTTATCGTACAACTGCAAATTTTTGCAAGTCATTTTTGTAAAAGGAAAAACATGAAAAACTAATATGCAGCACACATTGGCAGGATGTTGTTACTTTTTGATGTGTTTTTTGACATGTGTTTTCAGTTTTTGCAATTAAAATCTCAAAGACTTCTTCAACTCTGAAATTTAATTTTGCAAATTTTTGTTTATATTTTACAGGTGTTTTAGTCTTCAATACCCAAAAGTTCTTCCAAAAGCCAGTGTAGTGATAATTTTCCACAACGAAGCTTGGTCCCCACTTTTACGTACAGCCCACAGTGTTGTTAACAGATCTCCTCCCGAATACCTGCATGAGGTCATATTGTTGGATGACTTTAGTGATAGAGGTATGTTACCACGGTTATCACACTCCTCGTACTTACATTTATCCCCCATTTATCATGTTACACCAGCATGTTTTCGTTGTAATTGATTTAATAATAATTTAATAAAACAAGTGATTTTATGACACATGTGTGGGTGAATTATCAAAACTAACTACTATTACCTGTTAGACTGATATGCTTTTTTATTTGAAGTGACAGTTGTAGGTGAAATGATGGCAGATTACAGTTTTATTACACACATACCTTTCAACTTCATGAGTAAAATTCAAACAAGTAGGAAAGTTTAAGAAATTTATTTCCTGTTTTTTTTTGGATAGGCAGTCATCATTCCATCTTTATAAAAATGTTATTTGAATTATTTAACATCATTAAGTGGGTGGAGTAGCAGTTTGTACATGTGCTTAGATGTGTAGAAATTTAGCAAGTCAGTTTGAACAGAGTTGCAGTTATAATGTTGAAGTTCAGTTTAATTAATTATACATGTACAATTTAATGATCACGTTTTTTCTGTCCATGTTTCTAATTTCTATAGAACAGTAAGGATGAACACTAATATAGACATAGTTATTTGGTAAGCATTAAAATTGTGGTTTTATTGAGATAAAACAGCTGACACAATTTTGTCAGTATACACTCAGTTTGCTTGTCAAATACATGTATTCATAATTATTTAATTATCTGTGACTGTCCTTTATAATATCATGGTTAATAAAACTACACATTCTCCAGTCACAAAATTTCAGAGTATATATTTTCTCCTATTTTAAAAAAGACCCCCTCCCCCCAAAGAAAGGAAAAAAAAGGCATAAATAAATTCAACCTGTCCTGTCTACACCTGCGAAAAGCAAGAGACTTTATTGTTAGCTTTTTGCAAAGTAAAATATGTAATAATGGTGGCCTATTTTTGCCATTTGTGTTTTCGCCGTGCGACCCTGCCAAGCAAAAAGTCAAGAATTAACAAAATGAAATTGCCGGGCATGGAACGAAACACGCTTATTAGCGGGACGCAGGGCAAAGATTAGTAAATATTTATTAAACACGCTTTAAATAACTGGGGTTGTGGGGCCAAGTATTATAAATATTTATTTAACTTGGCCCTGCGCTCTGCTAATATGCTGTTTTCGCTGGAAGTCAAAATACATCTTAAAGCAGTCACTGGTTTGATCCTGAGGCAAACCAAATTGAAGAGTAACCAGTGGAAAATCTTGAATATGATTTTTCACATAGGTATAGTTTTGTCTACATATTATGAGGATATTTTTTTCCTTCCAGATGATGAAAATATTATTATATGGAATTTTATCCTATTTCCTGAAAATATATTCCATATTTCATGAAAAATAGAAAAAAATCCTCTTAATATTTCATTAGTCAATTAGACTAAACAGTATTTTATTCACAAAATGGGTATATTAAATAATGCTGAATAAATGGATATCATGTTGACATTATAAATCAGAATTTTCAAGGCAACAAACTAATATTATTTTTATTACTTTTAGATGGACTGGGAGAAAAATTAAGTAAGTATGTAGCAAGAACTTGGCCGGATGGAATTGTCCGTATTGTACGAACCAAGGAGAGAAGTGGGTTGATCCGAGCACGACTGGCGGGAGCAAAGGCTGCCACTGGGGATGTCCTCATCTTCCTTGATTCTCATTGTGAAGCAGGGCCAGGCTGGTGAGTTATCCCCCCTTCCTTCTATCATGAATGACTTAGCACATATAGGACTTAACTGGTTCAATGCAAGTTGATTTGATGGTTTTTAAACTTTTAATTATAGATTTTCAATAATGTCTAAAAAAAAAAACTAACAAAAAACAAATACCATGCCAGTTTGTAAAGAGAATTTTATCTAAAGTTGAAATAAATTTGAAATTTTGCGATAAAGTTTATTATTTAAGTGCCATTGTTTATTATGTGTATAGTATTAATTTTTACAAGATGAAATTAATTTTATATGATTAATTTATGTGTCAACTCTACCTCAAAATGATTATTTCTATTGATTTTAGTCTTATCTTTTATCAAATGAGTAGATACCCCAAACACTCAGACAGGACATTATGATAAAGGCCTAATATTTGATTTTATTGGTTTCCAAATGTTTAAATATCTTATCTTTCACAATGTCAACATATGCCACAAAATTTCCACGATATGGCATAATGAGAGTTAAGATATGACATTCTACAAATAAAAGGTCTTTAAAATCAAACAGGTCATGAGTATTTCAGTGCATAAAACATTGGCATGATAGACGTAAATTTAATCAAACCAAACACTAAGCCCACAATCCCACCCTATCCTGATCAAACATGTTTTAAGGTTCTAAATATAAGTTGCATCATTATGTCTAGTAATCTGCGCTGGACATAGTCTCAAATACCAGAATTTTTATTTTTTTTAGATTTGGTCATCATTATACAGTCATAAAGATAATTGAAGAACTACAATTTCTAGTCTGTGTGCCAAATGAGCTTTAGATGGCATTTGTAGCTATTATCTTTAAGCCTCATTGCTGTAGGTTTGGTCCTGTCATAAACTTTGGATTCTTTAATGTAAGGAAGATATCCAGCTCAGGCTAGATGTCAAAGATTGGTGGTTCTTCTTTGGTGACATTGTGTTCATTAAATGATTCATAAAGTAGCACCTGAGGTCGTCCTTCACCATAGTATAGGTGTGACTTAAAAACAAACTAAGAAACAGTGATAACTTTAAAGGGCAGCACAATGGCTCAATGATTAAGCTGACACTTTTTGTCCTTTATACATACATGTAAGTTTATTTCTGCCTTGATCACAAATCAGATTATCCTGCTAAGAACATGGACTTCTTTCATTATAAAAAATCTCCATGTACAAGTTAAGCCTTTAAATCACTGTACGAACAAACAATGTCAAAAGAATGGGAAGATAATAATACTTGCATTGTAGAGTGCATGGGGTATTACTCTGTAATAAATTTACAGCTATTTTTTTTAACAAGGGAGTATTGTACTGAAATGTTTTACAGAATATAATTAATACCTAGTCTTTATTACTTTAGTAAAAAAAAACAAAAACAAACAAAACAATAGAACATTACATGGCTTTAAAACATAAACATAAATTATCATATAATATTTTCTAAATTGCTACATATTCTCTTATAATATGCCCCTACCCTTTTTTAACATTGAAAAAGAATACTTTGTTTCTAAGAAGATAATAGTTTATTTCAAAACAAGGAAATAAGCACACATGTTAACACATAATCCGTTGGAACATTACACAAAAACAGTAAACAACTTTTTACTTTGGCGATTTTTGATTTTTAATTTTGCCTCTCCCCACTTTGGAAAATGTTGGACCCCCAGGCCCCTCCCCCTGGGGGCATTTATCAGAGAATATATGGTATGTAAAATAAATTTCAGTTTAAAATAGAAACTGAGATATAAAGACTGTAGCTCTCAGGGTCCTGTGGTGTAACATACAGGCTTAATGTTTGCTTGTACATGTATAATATTTCTGTGTAATTTTAAGTAAAAAATCTCACTTTGAGAGTATTTACATGTTATATGTTTACCAATTTCTCTCATTTTCATTTTGATTATTGTAACTTGAAAATTTAAGCTTTTATTTAGTTCACATCAAATAGCAGAATCGAATAAAGTTTGTTGTTAAATGAACAGTTAGATTAGATTGCTCTTGAAAAATTATTGATTTTCCCTTAAGGTGTAAAATGTTTTGTTTGTTTTCTTTATTTAACAAACAAATATAGCAACCATACATAACAGTTAATATATTTTTATTATTTATGTATAAAAGTTTTATACTTTCCATGTAAATATGCAAAGTCAATTTTAATAGTCCAAGCTTATATTGCATTTACATGGGTACAAGTTTTTAGGCATTTCAGCTTTTTTGTACTCCTGAAAGCAGCCTTTTTCTATATGAAACCAATTGAAATAATTTAAAATGCAGGGTTTTCGGGTAATCTTACATTTTGAACTGGCACACATGCATTTACAATGGAACAATTCCATGATAGCACTTCATTTCAATCAATAATGAGGCTTACAGTCACTTAGTTACTTAAGGAATTAACCATATTGTTATCTTGCTGGAAGAATGTATTAATTAAATTTCCTGTTAAGCCAAAAGCCAGAACAATCTCTTAAGTAAAATCAGAGCACCATCTGTTTAAGGTTTTTTTCATGTTTTTTCTTCTTCACATAATTGATTTCAAACTGTAAAATGATTAAATAGCTTGAATATATCCAAAGTTTTATTCATATTTTATATTGTATTTTGATATTTCAATATTGTTAAAAATTCTCTGCTGTTTGATTGACGTTTTAGTTGCAAATTTATTTATTTTCTGATTTGTTTTTGTTAGTCATATTTATATATTTTCATTGTGGGTTACTAAGTAAACAGGTTTCTTTCTGTATAAGTTGAGATATTATTGTTGTATGGACAGGCTTGAACCTCTTCTAGCTAGGATCCAGGAAGACCGCACAGCAATACTGTGCCCAGAGATAGATAATATAGATAAATATACACTTGATTATGGTGGCACAGGATCATTCTCAGTTGGTGGGTTTTGGTGGAGTTTACATTTTGCCTGGCGCCCTATCCCACAACATGAGCAGCAGAGGCGTAAATCCTCCACCGATCCAATTAGGTACTTGTTACCATGGTAACTGTGCGAAGACCTCATAGCTAGCTGTTTTATTCTACCTATTTGTTTATTTTGTACTATATTTATCATATAATAGCCCTCTTATATAATATCCCTATTTCTTTTTTGTAGATGAAATTTATAGTATATGACTTGTATGTTATACTTTTTACTGTTAATTTAAAATATCAGAATTTAAACTCTACATCCATAAATGACACTTGATGTATAAATGTTACACACTATTATACTGTGACAGTACTTGATTCAAGATAATATTCAGATTTGTTTGCACTAAAATGATTTATCTCCCCTGTCCATATAAAAATGTAATAGTGCAATAATGATGGTTAAAGTAACAAATTAATGTGAAATGTTGACACTTTCAAAAGATAAATTCATAATGACACGAAACAAAAGTTGCTGTTTTTTCATTTTAAAATGTTCTTTAAGGATTATTACCATCTTGGTGGTTTTATGTCTGTTAATATACCATGCTATATTGTCTTGTTAAGCTGTAATATTACTCTATGTTTTAATACTATGTTACATTACACTGTGTTATCATACTGATATAAAACCTCCTATTACACTTACTCATTATGCAATATACTGTTACACTTTGTTATTGTACTATATTGTATTATTTTATTGTGTTATTGTACTGATATTACATCCTCCTATCACATGAGTTATTATATTATAATGTTACACTTTTTTTATTGTACTATGTTTTTCACTGTGTTATTATACTGTGTTATTATTCTTTGTTATCACACTCTTTTATATTGTACATTACTGATAAATCCTTGTATATTACACTTTCTATTACACCATGCTGTTACATTTTGTTATTATACTATGTTATAATACATTATGTACCGAAACTGTGTTATTATACTTTGTTATGTTGTATTGTGTTATTATACTGATATTACCTCAACATAGGAATTCGGTGACTTTAGAGGTAGGAGCATGATTTATGCTTGTTTTACAATGTTATCAAGACAGAAGTATGGATTGGGTATAAGTTAGTTAAAAGTATGGAAAAGGACAAACAAAATTTATTAGTATGTCAACAACTTGTTATATATAAATGCCAAAGGCTTGATTGATCATAAACACAAAAAGATCAGAAAAAAAGATGGCTTTAAATAAACTTAAAAGTAGATTTCAATGTGAAAATAAAGATTAACTGTAAACTTTAAATGAAAAATTTAAAAGGCCCATCAAACCCTAAAAAAAGATGCTTCCTTCATAATTTTTTATATTTCATATTCAGCGCTTCTTACTTCAGGTTATAATTTTATTACATTCCAAATTCATTATCTAAATAGTTATAAATATATTTTTGCCATTACTAAAAAAAGAAAGGATTATTCTCAATTCTGAGAGTTAACCATAATGTACCTTTAAAAGCAAAGAACATGTAATTTAAAATTTACTGTTGAGTTATATAACTGATGACAATCATGCATTAATGTACTATGTTACTAGGGGGTGCGTCTTTGGCCGAATGGTTAAGGTTCTAATCACTTGCCTGTCATCTTTGTGGGCAAGAATCCTGCATGGGACTTTGGAATCTTTCATGCTTACGGAACTTCACTGGTTATACTCACTGATCGATCAACCAACATTAGCTTATACTATTTTATTGTTTTTAAAATTTAATGATATGGTTGTATTTGAATGCATTTGATAAAATTTTTGTCATTAAACAAGTCAAAGGCTTAGAGCTTAATTGGTGTAGTCTAGATTTTGTTTAAAGATTTGTCAAAAAAAACAAACCGAGAAGCCTATTAGGTTAGTGTTAAATTAAATAAAACAACCTTACGTTTCTACAAGGTGTTAAGCTTTTAGTGGTAAAAAGAAAGAGGCTATGTTATGAAAGGTGGAGGAGTAGATCTGATGAACCTGTTTTGATTTTAAGAACGTTTTTGTGAGTTTTCATATAGACATATAGGCAAAATTAAAACTGTTCAATAGAATTTCTTAAAAATTGGCATGTTGTTAGAAAATGATAACAGAAACATTTTAAGCCAAAAGAAAATTTGGGTCTGTGACCCTTCTTATTTACGAGTTATCTGCCCTTGAATTGGACTTTTTCGTTAAATTCAAGGGCAGATAATTTGCAATGAAAAAAAAACAATACATTTTTTTTTTCTTATTTTCATGAAGCTTAACTTTGTTTTAGTCGATATGCAAAATTTCAAGACGGAATTTAGAGTGGATAATTTTTCTTCCTTTTCTTCTTTAAACCTGTGCATATTTTTCTTAAAAATGGCCTCTTTTAAAGTATCTCTATTTTCATTGAAAAAAATATATTAACAGAATTGATATAAGGAATTGTATGTTATAATGTATCGTATCGTACTCAACAGTAAAAAGGAAAATATAATTCAGAAGTAAAAACAAGAATTCATTTAAGTATGTATAAGTTATTTGCCCTTGAATTGACCTCAAATAAGTAGAAAATTCTGATTCAGGGGCAGATTACTCAAAAACGAGAATGGAGACCCCCAATTTTTTTTCGCTCAAAATGTTTCTGTTATCATATTCTAACAACATGCCAAGTTTAAAGAAATTCTAATGAACAGTTTTAATTTTGCCTATATGTCTATATGAAAACTCGCGAAAACATCCATTAAATACTCTTTTATTTAAAGGAAGTGGGTATCTCATTGGGTATACTGTAGCATACTAGTAGTTGGATATTGGTCTGTTTTGATACACCATAGAACTCTGAGTACTTTCTCAGCATGAATCAGTATGCCTGTAATGTATACTATTGCAATCTTTACTAACAGTTAGATTTCAATTCTGTAACATGTTACATTTAAAGATTTATGTCCTGTTGCATGTTACATTAAAGGATCGAGCCGATTTTAGCTAGAATACAGGATGATCGAACACGTGTTGTGTGCCCGATAGTTGACTTAATCTCAGACACCACGTTAGAATATTCAAGTAACGGTGGCTACCAACCAGGGGGGTTTTCATGGAGTTTACACTTTACCTGGGAGGATATCCCTCACTCGGCACTGGAGTCACGCAGCTATACTGACCCATTAAGGTATAAATGAGCCGTGCCATGACAAAAACAACATAATGGGTTTGCGACCAGCATGAACCCATTCCAGCCTGCGCATCAGCGCAGTCTGATCAGGATCCATGCTGTTCGCTGTCAGTTTCACTACTTGTTATAGGGTTTGTAAGCAAACAGCATGGATCCTGATCAGACTGCGCGGATGTGCAGGCTGGTCTGGATCCATGCTGGTCGCAAATGCATTATGTTGGTTTTGTCATGGCGCGGCTCAAATGTTGGAGCTTATGCCCGAGTATAATACACCTCTTAACTCTTGGAAATTGGTTTTTGTTTTGCTATAGTAGAGAAATAATAGATCATTAGAAGCTTGTTTCAGTTTTTTACAGATGGTCCTGGTTGCCTAATTACACTCAATATCTTGGCTTAAAATATTTTGTTTGCTGCTTTACTAAATTATATACAAGTATAGAAACCCTGAATATAGACACTTTTGGGAATATAGCTGTACACATTCTATAACACTAGAATGTTATATATTTTATGAAGGTGTAAAAAAATGCTGTCCATTTAATGGTTTGAGCTTTATCCCAAGCACTGCTAATTTGATAGAGCTTTACTTTTCATTGCTTCATTGCACCCGTAAGTAAATGGTTACCTGAGAGGGTACTGTTATTTAGCCTGACCATGATTTACTGACATGGTCAAAGAAAATGATTGATGCATTTAAAATGCATTTACTTTTTCAGAATTTAAAAAATTAGCTTTTAAATAAAAATACTAATACTCTCATATTTGGACATTGGATTACTGTTATTATGTTTGGAATTATAGACGTTTCAGTTATCAATTGATGTTTCACAATCATAGACTGATTGTTTCTGCTTGATTTTTTTGTTTGCTGCTTAATCAAAGGAAACATAGATATACCATAGTCACTTGTCATTACTGAATGTTTTTGTCAGGATTGAGTTTTACCATATTTATATTAAATAACAAGGAAATTACCACAAAAGGAAAAGAATATAAACACCAGAAGATATCAAAACCTAACTTAGGTCTATTGTTATCATTGCATCCTTCTCCCTCACCCTCCCTAGGATTAATGAAAGGGGTATGGATTAGCGATAGAAATGAGCTTAGACTTTTATCTTCTAATTCCCTACTGCTTTGCCAATGTAATGGTAATGTTATAGTGCAAAAATTTCTGGGGAATATTATTATTCAACCAACAGAAAAGGGGCTTTTGGCAATGATTTTATGATGACTGTCCCAGTGCATTATGTCAGTGATTTGTAAACCCAAAAGTGAAAGTCCATGTTTTTTTCGTGAGGGTGGGAGGCTGTGGTCAATTGACACCTAGGTGCATTTACACCTAGAAAAAAAAATGTTCCAGGATGAGCAAAAATAGCTTTTGAACTATACTTATTTATAGAACTAACTCATATACTCATATCACCTGTTAATAAATTAATATTAGTATAATAACTAACTGCCACATTTCTGAAAACAGTGTTGAAAATTAGTTACTTTTACTTTTTTTTCCTGAACTAATATAGTGTAGAGCTTGGCTGAGTAAGAGCAGAGTATACTCTTAAAATATGAGGAATATTTATTATTTTGATAAATGATTTCATAGTAAAAATTGCAATACCTGTAGGATATAGAAGGGCTCAGTCTTTTTGAAACCGGGTCTCTTCTTTTGACAAATCATGTTGGTCTCATCACTATCACATTTATTTATAAATTATATGCACATATCCAGCTTTTGCCAATAATAAATGGTTAAAATTATTTCAAATTCTGTGTTACATTTAATTTATCTAATCACCAAAAATGGGATCACACAGGAATGCCAAAAAACAGCAAATTTGATCATGTTGCAGGCCCGATAATGATCGAGCCTGTGATTAGTGTAAGCTACGCCCCATGTGGCCTTGCACTGGCTAGTTAATAATAACGTATAGTTTGAGATATTCATCAGTGTGAAGTTTGTTAGCTTGTTCTTTTAAAGCATTATCATTTATAATGTGTTTATTTTAAAAAAATGTAAGGCCATTCAATTGGTCCGACATTTTTTGCTTCAATGCCTTAAGGTTTGTGTGCTCTGGAAAACAATATCATCAATTAATGTGCAAAAATAAAATTTGATTAACACAACACCATTGTAGTGGTCTTATAATTTATATTGCAATATTATAATAATTGATAAAGCTTGTCTTGACTCTGCGTCAGTAAAATCTGTAGGCAGTTCAGTTCCCTACCAACACATGTACCACAAAATTGATTCAACATCAAGATAACGTGATATAATCTGTGGTTCGTATTACATTTCTAAACAGTTGCCTATTGTTTGATAAGAAATTTGATATTTTTCTGATACTTTAAACGACAGCTGTTGTGGGACTGTTCAATAATGATATCAAATTTATTATGTACTTAGTGGTGTTATATGACATAGATGTCAATAAAGCTCACTCTAATAGATCATATACCAGGGTAACATATTGAGGAACCCATACATTATAAACATTACTGTATATAATAGATTATCACGATAATGGTACTTTGATAATTATATTGCAATAGAGCATTTCACATTATAAATTGTCTTTTAAGCAACTGGAATACTTGATTTGTTAACAGAGTGTTTGCATGGTCTTTGAGTCCTAGTATAACCAGTATTTACAAAGTTGTCAGGCGTGGAACTAGAGACTTTTCAATGAAAACAGCCGTTAACTTCACAAAATGCTCAAAAGGCTAAAAAAATTAAAATAAAAAAAATGTAGATAACACACAGGTCAATGATACTAGATTGTACTACTGTTTCATTCTTACTTTAAAAGAATGTTACAATGTAACAGTTTGTATTTTGAACTACTGTACTAATTATGTACAGCAAATCTAAGATAATTATTACTTATCTTTTTGGACCAAATTTTTAGTGATCACTTATTAAAATGATGGTAATTGACAATCAGAGGGGAATCACCGATGTGAAACATTATATATTGATCCTAAATGACAATAAATCCTTTCTATACATCAAAGTCAATATCTTTATAGGTTTAACAACTCTACAACTTCTTAGCTCATAATGTTGTATAGCTTGTATAGTTCATTTAACTACAATTACAGTTGAATATAGTAATGTTCTCCTGACTATAGCTTTTAGCTTCTGTGGCTTCAACTTTATATTGTTGTTCAGTTACAATTCTTTAAATCCTATGGCTTTGACACTGTAGCTCCTTCAACTACAACTTTACCTTCAGAGGTCTGAACATTAAAATATCTTGTTAGAGGGGCAACTACAACTTTCTAAACTACTGTGCTTTCAATCTTTACACATGCATATAGTTTAATTAGTTTCATACGCCTTTTACTTATTTTATAAACATGTATTATTTCTTAACTCCTGTTTAATTATTTCAGTTACATCAGTTGTCAAGTTTCATAGACAAGTACCAGACATATTCCAACTTTTTTCTATAGATATTTCGGCTTCAACTATAGTTTTTAAACTACAACTCTAACTCCTGTGTTTAACAACTTTTAGCTCATTTGGCTAGAGATCTTGAACTCTCTTAATTGGCTTCAACTCTAAAGCACCTTATAGTGCAACTGTAGCTCCTTAGGAAACAATTCCATATCTGCTTGACTACAACTCTTTTAGCTCCTGTTTAAACTCTACAGCTTTTTGACTACAACTTGTATGTTTTTATCTATTTTAATAAAGCAATTAATATCCGCATCTTACCATTTCTACCGTGTTACATCAGTAAATTTTGAAAAATTATGTACGCTTGAGCAAAGGTAAAAATTATTGTTGATAGTAGTGTGTGAAACATTTGGATAATTTAGATTTAAAAATGAGATTTCTGGCCCGTGGGTTTTTTGATTTGTTACATTTATTGTTATTACAAATGTTTACATTATTTATTATATATACAAAACAAATGTAATGTCTAGTAGGTTATTTTTTTAATTTAAATCTCATTGTTATGAAATCATTAACAAAACAGAATCAGGATAAACTTCAAGGTTTAACACTTAACCAGCTAAATTTGTTATAGATAATGGACTTTCTGTTACAGTTCATTCAAAGTTTAAAGGATTTATAATGAATTTCAATATGAAATACAAATATCGGTCTGCAGGCTGGCCTGTGGATCTATACTGATCGATGCAAAGGTTAACAACTTCCGGTTCAGTTATATTGGGTTTAAGAAAAAGCATTTAGTATATTTGAAGTACGAAAAACAAACCAATACTAGCAATCCACGTTACACTTTGCATGTTTTATGGAAGAATTAATACACTGAACTCATTTTATTTATTACAATCATTCCACTGTGTTATAAAAGGGCTATTCTTGTGCTATTTTGATAGAATGTGTCTTTGGCTAGCTTTTAAAATCATCTTTTTGTATACTTCATTTTAACGACTTTGTAAATTTTAATAAAAATTGGCATGCATCTGGAATCATGCAGCTTTAATGTTGTCTATTGGCTATTAATGATATTATTAGAAATGCTACAATGTATTATAGCTATGAGGTCTTCGTACATTTTTATACAAGTATAATGATCTTATTTTAGTAAATAAATTCTATTTTATGGTGTGATATAACTTGTTTCATATTTTGATTTTATTGATGATTAGTTCAATAAGATTTAATTGAAGTTTGATAAACATTTAAAAAGTAATGCTTTGGTTAGAATGTATCATAAAGCTCTATTAATTTGACCATACAATGTAGTTATTAATTTCAGACACTGATCTTTTGAATTTGCTAATGGAAAGGATTTAAATGTATATTTAATCTAATGTTTTAAACAAATGTATATATGAGTATTAATTACAATATTTTTTTGTGTCAGATCTCCAACAATGGCTGGTGGATTGTTTGCAGCAGACCGTAAATATTTTTTTGAAATTGGTGCTTATGATGACGGTATGGATGTGTGGGGCGGTGAAAATCTCGAAATCTCATTCAGGGTAAGTACATATATGAGGCCGAGATAATGTGGCATCTCAGTGAAAAATGAGGTTAAAAAGCATGAATATCCAGTTTCCATGATGGTCCCTCCAGGTATTTCCCTGTGCCTGAAAAAATACTCAGAGAGGTAGTAACTGTAGTGGTTTGTGTCCACTGTTATAACTGAAGTTGTCCACCAATTTAACTTTAAAGTTGCCATATACGTAACAATGTTTGGCACAACTTTAAAATTCAATAACGAAAATTATTATACTTGTTTATTATATATGAGGGTTTATCCAAAAATTTGTAGACTTTTTAAATATCTCTTGAACTTACACGTGTATTGTAATGAAATTTTATCAGCATACCTTGTAGAATATTATCAACACATTTTGAAAGAAACAGTTAACTGTGTCAATAAATAATGATTTTATAAATAAGCACATACACGGCACCTGACGCACGGTAGAAAAACGCAGTTAGTCATTGTATATTTTTTTAGCTCGACTTTTTTTTTTTTGAAAAAAAAAGTAGAGGTATTGTTATAGTCAGGTCGGCGTTGCCGTTGCCGTTGCCGTCTCCGTTGCCGTTGCCGTTGCCGTCCGAAAACTTGTACCTGGATCATAACTTTTTTATTTCTTGGTGTATTGTCTTCATACTTGGCCACAACAACCCTTGGGACAAGACCTTTCAGTAGACCACACTAACCTTGACCTTCATCCATAAATGACCTTGACCTTCAAGGTTAAAAGTCCAATTTTTGCTTGTTCATGCTGTTATTGGCTGTTACTTTGTTATTTTTTTGAATGGATTGTCTTCAAACTTGAACATAATAATCTTCAAGGATATCCCTTAAAAATAACCAGTCAGACCTTGACATTCACTCATCAATGACCTTGACTTTGAAGGTCAAATTATTGAAATTTTCATTTTTTTGGCTATTATTGGCTGTAACTTTGTTATTTTTGGATGGATTGTCTTCAAACTTGAACATAATAATCTTCAAAGATAACTGTTAAAAAATATACCGAAAGACCTTGACCTTCACTCATTAATGACATTGCCTTTGGAGGTCAAATTATTGAAATTTTCATTGTTTTGGCAGTAACTGACTGTAACTTTGCTATTTTTGAAGGGATAAACTTCATATTATAACAGAACATTCTTAAGGACCAGACCTTGTTGTTTATCAAACCCAAATTTGCTTGGGCTCTTTAATGACCTTGACCTTGAAGGTTATTTTACTGAATTTTCTCAGAGTGTGCATTTATTGGTGTGTGTGTATGTATAGTATATGTATTATATATATATGTATATAAATGTGTGTGTGTATATATATACATATATGCAGGTATATATATATATAAATATATATATATATATATATATATATGCATATATATATACATATATATATATATATATATCAAATATATATATATATATCAAATATATATATATATATATATATATATACATATATATACATGTATATAATTGCGTCATGTTTTTCTATTTTTAGCTCGACTTTTTTTTTTTTGAAAAAAAGTAGAGGTATTGTTATAGTCAGGTCGGCGTTGCCGTTGCCGTCTCCGTTGCCGTTGCCGTTGCCGTCCGAAAACTTGTACCTGGATCATAACTTTTTTATTTCTTGGTGTATTGTCTTCATACTTGGCCACAACAACCCTTGGGACAAGAACTTTCAGTAGACCACACTAACCTTGACCTTCATCCATAAATGACCTTGACCTTCAAGGTTAAAAGTCCAATTTTTGCTTGTTCATGCTGTTATTGTCTGTTACTTTGTTATTTTTGAATGGATTGTCTTCAAACTTGAACATAATAATCTTCAAGGATATCCCTTAAAAATAACCAGTCAGACCTTGACATTCACTCATCAATGACCTTGACTTTGAAGGTCAAATTATTGAAATTTTCATTTTTTTGGCTATTATTGGCTCTAACTTTGTTATTTTTGAATGGATTGTCTTCAAACTTGAACATAATAATCTTCAAAGATAACTGTTAAAAATATACCGAAAGACCTTGACCTTCACTCATTAATGACATTGCCTTTGAAGGTCAAATTATTGAAATTTTCATTGTTTTGGCAGTAACTGACTGTAACTTTGCTATATTTGAAGGGATAAACATCATATTATAACAGAACATTCTTAAGGACCAGACCTTGTTGTTTATCAAACCCAAATTTGCTTGGGCTCTTTAATGACCTTGACCTTGAAGGTTATATTACTGAATTTTCTCAGATTGTGCATTTATCAGTGTGTGTGTATGTATAGTATATGTATTATATATAAATATATATATAAATGTGTGTGTGTATATATATAAATATATGCAGGTATATATATATATATATATATATATATATATATATATATATATATATATATATATATATAAATATATATATATATATGCATGTATATATATATATATACATATATATATCAAATATATATATATATATATATATATATATATATATATATATATATATATATATATATATATCATGTATATAATTGCCTCATGTTTTTCTATTTTTAGAAATTGCGTCATTATTCTATTTTTAGAAATTGCGTCATTGTTGCTATTTTTAGAATTTGCGTCATTTTTTTTTCTGTTTTTAGAAATTGTGTCATTGTTGCTATTTTTAGAAATTGCGTCATTTTTTTCTATTTCTAGAAATTGCGTCATTTTGTTCTATTTTTAGAAATTGCGTCATTGTTTCTATTTTAAGAAATTGCGTCATTGTTGCTATTTTTAGAATTTGCGTCATTTTTTTTTCTGTTTTTAGAAATTGTGTCATTGTTGCTATTTTTAGAAATTGCGTCATTTTTTTCTATTTCTAGAAATTTCGTCATTTTGTTCTATTTTTAGAAATTGCGTCATTGTTTCTATTTTAAGAAATTGCGTCATGTTTTTCTATTTTTAGAAATTGCGTCCTTTTTTTCTATTTTTAGAAATTGCGTCATGTTTTTCTATTTTTAGAAATTGCGTCATTTTTTTCTATTTTTAGAAATTGCGTCATGTTTTTCTATTTTTAGAAATTGCGTCATTTTTTTCTATTTTTAGAAATTGCTTCATTTTTTTTCTATTTTTAGAAATTGCGTCATGTTTTTCTATTTTTAGAAATTGCGTCATTTTTTCTATTTTTAGAAATTGCGTCATGTTTTTCTATTTTTAGAAATTGCGTCATTGTTGCTATTTTTAGAATTTGCGTCATTTTTTCCTACTTTTAGAAATTGCGTCATTTTTTTCTATTTTTTAGAAATTGTGTCATTGTTGCTATTTTTAGAAATTGCGTCATTTTTGTTCTATGTTTAGAAATTGCGTCATTTTTTCTTTTTTTAGAAATTGCGTCATTGTTGCTATTTTTAGTAATTGCGTCATTTTTTTCTATTTTTAGAAATTGCGTCATTGTTTCTATTTTAAGAAATTGCGTCATTTTTTTTTTCTATTTTTAGAAATTGCGTCATTGTTTCTATTTTTAGAAATTGCGTCATTTTTTTCTATTTTTAGAAATTGCGTCATTTTTTCTATTTTTAGAAATTGCGTCATTGTTGCTATTTTTAGAAATTGCGTCATTGTTGCTATTTTTAGAAATTGCGTACTGTTGCTATTTTTAGAAATATGCTTAATGTTTCTATTCATATATATACAAAATATATAAACAAAACTAATGTGACAAGACAGACCAACTAAATTTATAAAAAGGAAACATCAATATATGTTCAAACCTTTCTATGTTTGCGATTAGAAAAAGTAAAAAGTCGAGCGTTGCCCCCGCCCGGCGGTGGCTCTTGTTGCTTAAAAAACTGATAATTAACATAGAAAACCCGCTAAACATTGCAATAACAATTTAGTAGTGGACATAACTTTGAGAAGCAGTAACGACCATTGACTGCGTAACGTTGAAGCACATGTTAAACGATATTATGAAGTTGACGACAATAACTCTTTGTTGCCGACATGTGTTTTATATGAAAATTTAAATATTGTTGTAATACTCAGAAGAAGCTACCAACATGAATTTTTCTGTGTTTATTTGTTATTTATTCTTCTTAGCAGTTTAAGAATTTCAAATCAATCTCAAATGTATTTTACGCAACAAAGAAAGTCCACGAATTTTTGGATAACACTTCATAAATTTGCATGTATATATATAAGAATGTATATCATTATTGGGTCACCATCAGACTGACATATTTGCTGAAAATATATAATATTCTATAAGTATCTATGGCATTTTATAATATTTCAGGTATGGATGTGTGGTGGGAAGCTAGAGTTTATACCATGCTCTAGAGTGGGTCATATATTCCGCTCCAGTCATCCTTATACATTCCCAGGTAACTTTATAGACTTCTGTAATACTGCATGTTTTTGATGTCGCTTTTCATTTGATAATCATGATGTTTATATAATTTATAGACTCAACTGCTGTTAGTTTATAAAGATATTTGTTTTTTCCTGATATACATGTATTGTGATTTGAAATAAAGATATCTGTTATTAGTTATCCTGATAGTCCAGTTGTGAAATGACTAGAATGTGACTGTGAACCTCTGTGACTTAATTCACAATAATACAAGGAAAGTTGAAGAACAATAGTTTTTTCATTGTAGCAACCTTTGACTGAAAAAATGTTATCATAATAAATTGAGCACTATTTTAGGTTCAGTATCAATAAACAATTGTAAAGTCTTAACTGTTTCTAAAAATTATTGTTTCATTTTTTTTCCAGGTAATAAAGACACACATGGTATAAACTCGATGCGTTTAGCTGAAGTTTGGATGGATGAATATAAGAGATTGTTTTATACACACAGGAGAGACTTATTAGTAAGAGATGATAACTATATTTTCCTGTCCTGTCCCTCCGCCCTTTTCTGTGCGATACTGTTTAAACCTCTTTCATCCTTTTATATTACATGCCCGTTTAACTCACAACGAGTGAAAAATGTCCATCGGTTAAAAATGTTGTGAGCAACTTCTGTTCCTCGTTGTGAGCACCTATCTTTGACGTGTGACACGATAAACAAGGTGAGTTTTTCATAATTTTTGAAGATTACAGACATTTATGTAAAAATATCGAAATTCAGTTAGCTAGCGATGTGTTTTCCGAGTATGCATATGTAAAGATATTGCCTGTTGGTGGACAATTTGATGGAAATACCGTGCGACGCAGTTAGATCAGAGCAAGGAATAAAGCGTAAACTGAATGTGCAGACTTATGAAATTAAATACCAGGCAATACTAGAAGTAGAAAAGGGAATAAAGAAAAAAGATGTCACAAGTAAATTTGATATTCAACCTAATACACTTTCAACTTGGTTAAAAAAAAGAGATGAAATTAAAAAGAAGTTTCCAGAAGCAGACATTAGTCCACAACGCAAACGTGACAAAAAGGCAAAATTTCCAGAGTTAGAAAGTGCCCTCTTGCAATAGTTTTCTAATGCAAGATCAAAAAACATACGGCTATCTGGTGAAATTGTCAGACAAAAAGCAAAGCAATTTGCAGACCAGCTCAATGTTTCTGATTTCGAGTGCTCAACAGGCTGGCTTGACAGATTTAAAGAAAGACATGAACTGTCCTTCAAAAAAGTTTGTGGTGAAGCAAAATCTGTCGACTCTAATTTCACAGCAATGACCGAGTGGAAATCTAAACTTCAGACCTATCTGATTGAATATGAGCCACAAGACATTTACAATGCCGATGAAACTGGCTTGTTCTTAAGAATGTTGCCTGACAAGACCTTAGAATTTAAAGATGTTCAGTGCCACGGTGGTAAAATGAGCAAGGATCGATTAACAGTTATGGTCTGCGCAAACATGACAGGGTCTGAGAAAGTACCGCTTTTTGTGATAGGAAAATCAAAAAATCCTCGCTGTTTCAAAAATCTAAAAACAATGCCAATTGAATATGATGCAAACAAAAAAGCATGGGTCACATCAGAAATTTTCACTAACTGGGTGAAAAAGTTTGACTGCCGTATTTCGGCACAGGCGCGAAGGGTTCTGTTGATTGTCGACAACTGCCTGTATTTATATCTAAATTCTGGTACCAGTCTGCCTGCAGAGCTCAAAGGGGAGAGCATCTGATTTGTTATCCAGAGTTAGCTGGTTTGATTCTGGGATGTAGGGTAATTATCTTAAGACAATTGATCATAGACACAGTCTTATTGTCATTTGTCTCTCAACACTGATTGTGCAATTCAGAAATCATGTGGGGTAAGTGGTGAATGGTTACATGGGCGGACTGCTTAGATATGAACAAATGTATTAAAATCAGCGTAGAAAAAACCATAGAAACAAACAATTTTTGGGGTCATATATGATAATGTAAAGAAGAGAAGATTAAAATAATGAACGTATCTCTTTCTTGGAGCCTGTTTTATTTTATTCAATAAAGATAGCTTTAATTCTTCATATTTCGGATTGGCAGTATTTGGTGTAATGTACAGTGCATGCTTTTTAAGTCTATTAATATTTTACTTGAAAATAATATACCCAGAGCAACCTTTGAAAGTAATTCATTTACAGAAAAACTATCAATTACAGCGAAGGAATGAAAAAAACATATAATCAGTAACTACCTGTAAAATTTTGACTGAAATATGATTTCTTACTAACAGTAAACAAATTAAATTGTTGTTTTTTACCTCCTGTTTGTTTCAGGATAAAGATCCAGGAGATCTTACTGAGAGGAAGGCATTGAGGGAGAGACTAAAATGTCATAGTTTTAAATGGTATCTAGATAATGTATACCCAGAGAAGTTTATACCAGATGAAAATATTCATGCCTGGGGAATGGTATGTAGCAAAGAATTGTATAAGTTATGATAAGTTAATATATTGGTAGAAAGGAATGTTTCAGTAAGTTTTTAACCTTCTTCTAAAAAGAAAATTCAATATCCTTTCCTTATTAGCCCTTGCTTTAGAAAGAAGAAATGATGACCTCAGTAAGTTCACCCATTTTGTCCACTGGATCTCATTTTATCTAACATTTAGCTCTTGACTATAGGAAGAATATTTGCCCTATTTTATTCACTGTGTATCTGCCTCTTAATTTTGTTAAAGTTTCAGGTGCAACGTATTGTACAACTTGATGTCAAATCAACCACTAATTATTATTTGATTGTGACTTCACACATGTCTATGAGATCATAATTGGAGGTCACATTCCAAGGTCAAAACTCTTGTATGGATTTTGACTGTATTAAAGCCCTTTGTGAATTTAAAAAAGTTCTTGGTTAAAGTTTTGCATACAACATCAGTCTTCAAAATGACTCTTGGTATCTACTTGAACGTTCAAACATATCTTTGGGATCCCAATTGGAGGTCACTCTCTAAAGGTCACGCTTATCGTATGATTTTGATTTATTAATGACCCTTTATGAACTTAGAAAGTTGAAGTAAGTAATATTTTAATGTCATTTTATCTCAAACGACATCCTTTACTGTAAAAACTATTTTCTTTACATCAGTTTTGTGTGCTTTGTGTTATATAATTAGTCATTATCCTGAGGTAAATAGCACTGAGGAGCTTTATTCAAGTGATTTGTTTAATTTTGTGAGAGATATCAATTCAATGAGTTAGCTTTTTGTTATGGTAACTGAGGTAGAAGTATTCTTATACATAACAATATTTTTACCAGGTCCATTTCTTTTAAACAGGTTCGGAATCCAGGAAGTAACCTGTGTTTGGACACACTGGGTAAAGATGAAAAGACAGTATTTGATATTGGTGTGTTTTCTTGTCAAGGTGGTGCTAGTGCTAGTGAGGTAAGTTGTCACCATCATCATGCACATCTACCAGTCACTTAGGTCAAAGGTCAATGTCACACTTAGAGGTCAGAAGAAAATGCTTGTATGGAATAAAACTTCTACATGAATTGGGGGATTTAAATATAATTCTTGCACAAATGTTCATTTTGTGACCGAGCATTATATGTATGATCAAGGTCACAAGAGATGATGGAATGTGGAGTTTTTGTTAAAAAACATACATTCTAAACGCATAAAGGGATATTATGTAGCATCATCAGGTGTATGGGTCAAAGGTCAGTCATACTTAGAGGTCAGGGAAAATACTTGTCCACAACAGAACTTCTTGCATTGAGGAATTTTGATTTTACTTTATTGTTCACCATTATGAGGAGGAGTGCTAGATTCAATTACCTTTAGCCAAGGTGAAGGTCATTATAGAGGTCAGAAGGTCAGGTGACAATATGAAAATGTCTGAGCAAACTATTTAGTCATCATGGATTGATGGGTTTTACATCATCATAAGACTGAGTGCTGCAGCATATTCCAGGTCCATATGTGCAAAACCAAGGTAGCTTGAGATGCAATGTCCATATTTTATCCAGAGCATATCAGCTACATATATGAAGGAATTTCAGTATTACTTGAGACAAATGTTCACCATGTTCACTATTTTGGGAGAGAACCGTCTGCATATTTGCAAATAAGCAGACAGTTCCTCCCCATTATTATTTTTATTTATACATTATTTTTGAAGTATTTTGATGTTAAATAAATGGGTAAATTTACTATTAATTGATATAAATTAGAAAAAAAAAATATTGAAGTATTTAGATGTTAAATTTATATAAATGTGTAAGTTTATGATCATTTGATAAAATAGAAAAAAAATATTTTTAGCATATAAGTACATGTATATTATTCTGATTTATATTATTTCATTAGATTTAATGTATATTTTTTAATGTGTTTAGTCATTGAAAATAATTAATGAATAATTTACTTGATAAGGACAATCATTAGATATTAATTATTGTGTGTTCTTTTTTTTTTTAATAAATAAGAATAAAATTTATAAGAAAAAATTATGAATGAATTTTAATTGCTAAATTCCATACTTTTGTAAAATGAAGAAAGGAGTTCAATACATATACATATGTGCGTTATGTTTGCTGTCAGATTTAATTAAGGTGTCTCCAGAATTAATTAAGGTGTTGATTATATTAAAATAGCTGTAAAAAGGTGTTAATGAATAAGTATTTTTATAAGTTATTTGATATTATATATTGTTTCATGTTTATTGTTAATGACTACACATACTTTAATCAATTTTGTATAAAAGTTAAAATTTGAAACGTAATTGCATACCAGTTCTTGCTTATTTATTTTCTAGAAAATATTTGTTATCACCTTATTTGTTATTTTAAAGATGAATGAATATCAATAAACCTTTACAAAATTACAGGTGTATATCAGTCCAATAATCTTAATCTCTCACAATGAAGGTGTTGATAGGATTAAAATCCCTGAAAAAAGGTGTTAAATTTACAAAACACTTTTCAGATAAACAAAAAACATAAATGCACTTAATTAAACACATTCTTTTAATTATCTTCATTAAGAAATATTATTAGATTTTAAGTCAAAACTAAAATGATAACTTATAAAAAAATTGGGAGAGAACTGTCTGCATATGTCAAATTTGGGAGAGAATCGTCAGGGGAGGAAACGGTTTGGGAGAGAACCGTCAGGGGGAGGAACTGGAAAGGGAGAGAATAGACTGTCATTCATAGTGTGGTGCACTTGAAATAGGTTTAAGAATGGCATAAAATATTAATTTTCAATGTAGTTTTGGGTGTATAGCTTTACAATAGTTATCATGTTTTTCTGTTTTATAAGTACACCAGTTGATCTATGTAAGATTTTCACGTTCTGTGTTAGGTTCTTGGACCTCTGTGAAGCTGCTTTAAACACACAGGGTCCCGACAGACATCAGCTTTATTGTAATTATTTTTTCAGGTGTTCTCATTAAGTTTAAAGGATGAGTTAAGAAGAGAGGATGGGTGTATGTCTACAGGGGGTAGCAATGGAGATAAAATCTCACTTACTAAATGCATTGAAGGAGATAAAAACCAACAGTTTAAACATGATAAGGTGAGGATAAAATAGCTGTTAGTGTTGATTTATTTTAATTAGATGCTATTTTTGTTGCTGGTTTGTATATTACATGTACTCAGGAATTCATGTATTTTCCTGATTTTAACCAATAATTCTTTATGTTTGTTTTTGTAAAATAAAAATATTCAATGAAAGAAAATGAGTGGCCTAACATCAACCAGAATTTTTAAAGATGTACAGTAAGCTATTGGTCAATGCCAAAGTGTTTTTTTCTGCAAGTCACTTCCAAAAATCATTTTATTCAATTGTGATGAACAACCTCAACTTTGTACATAGATTTCTATTAAATTTTCATGGAATATTATATGTCATGTAAAAGGTTTAACTTTTTAAATTTGGTCTTCTGATATTATAACACCATTTCATATTGCTGAAATATTCATTGATCTGTCATCATAGTCATGGCAACTGAAATTTGATTTTTTTAATATTCCTGGACAATTTGTAGAAAGTCAAAAATTTGTATTTAGAATATGACTTTGAATTATGAAAATCTCCAATTTCATAAAATACTGAAAAAAAATTCTTCCACATTCTGCTAAAAATATGACACCAGTGTATTATTATAATATTGTTGTCTTATATATTTTCTTTCAGCAAAAGAGTACAATAGTTCATGTAGGAAGTGGACGATGTCTAGATGTAGCAGATGAAAAATCATCCGGTTATGTTCGTGTCAGAGACTGCAATAACTCAGATTCTCAGAAATGGAATTTTGAACACTATTTGTAGCACGAAAATGGGCTTACTTAGAGAATTATTTTGTTATATACACTTCATCATGCAGAACGTGTTCTTTATTTATGCAACATAATTGAATGTGTTTGAAGGCACATATTCACAGTGTTGTTTCTGCACATATTGATATAACATCACCTCAGTGCAGTAAAGGGTTAAGTCCTTCTAAATTAATAGAAGTTAACCAGTTATTGCACTAAGGTGATAATAAGTATTGCTCAAAAGTTCTTGCCCTTCATTGTATTTTAGGTAGTGGAGCTGGAAATATTATAATGTAAAATGGCCAGAATTACTGTACAAGAGGCTATTGTCCTAGAACATTTTTTCTGTATTGTTAATGGAAAGCAAAAGAACTATAAAATTGTTTGCATGAAGAGTTGTTTGCCCCTGACTGTTGACAGTATTGTTGAAAGTATAATGGAGTAATGTGTTGTTTTTTTCTTTATAAAGTGATGGAGAATAGGGAAGAATTGTTTATATGACAATGGTTAATGGTATTGTTTTAACTATAATAAAAGTACGGTAATGCAATTTTCTTTTAATAGCAAAGAATTGTTCCCATGACAACGTTTTACTATAAGTATCATTACTTTCTTATATAGAAATGAAATGCGTTAGTATTTGATCAGTTAACTGTACTGGTCGGAGAGATAACTCTGACGCATAGATAACCCCGACACTTTGTTTTTCAGCAAATAAGCACATGATCACCTAACAGTATAGGAACAGGACAGAATGTGATGATTTGTTATAATTTGGTAGATTTTTTAATGTTTTTCAAATAACCTAAACTTTTTGTAGGCAAAAACTGCTTCAAAACGTTCTTTTTACTAAATTACAGTAAGGTAGTTAGAAATGTGTTGACCACAGGCCACTGACTTGAGAAAGATTTTTGAAAAATTGTTTAAATATTTACAAAAAATAGATAAACCATATAAGATGTAAAAATAAATTATTGATGCTGATTTTCCAGTCATTTTTTACTTAAAAATTTAAGTGTCAACTTTATCTACTGTTGTGGGGTAAAAAGACCATGTTTTGTATACCTCATTCAAGACCTTAAAGAAGTACCAGAGTCCATTTTCATACATAGTTTTTGTGGTGTAATGTTAAGTCTTTGAACTGAACTTTGTTTAGGTGCTTCAATATTTAAAATATACTGGTAGATAATTAAAATATTGCAAAAAATATGTGATTTAGTGTCGGAGTTATCTCTCCAACCAGTATCTGTTTTGATAAAAGTTAGGTAAAAGTTATCAAAATTTTAAATTGGGGCTATTATTTAATTCATAAGTGTTTTAACAACTTGTCAGACTTTATATTTAATTGAAACATGGATGAAAATAAAGTAGTTTCTGTTATTTAGCATAAAAAGTACATTTTTTTGAAATTCATGTCTCATATAATCTAAGAACCAAACCGGAGGACTGTAAAACATTTTTCAGAGCTCCACCTCAAATTTCAGGATTTGTCATTGGTCAGTGTACATTTAAATACCAGTCTCTGACCAGTCATATACTTGAGATCTGAGTTCGAGCATTGAAAATTTCTTTATAACTGTAGACCTAAGTTTCACCAAAGAATACAATAGACCAAAACTTAAAATTATTTTGTGACGTAGATAGTATATATAAATATGTGGATCTAAGTACTAAAGGTTTTACTGAGCCTTTACTTTTATTGTTTCCATGCTTATCCTTAATCTACTGAATTACTGTAATGAATTTGCCCAGCGTTAAAATTTGGAACAGTCCATTTTAAGTTTAAGGATTTCAGTATTATAATATCATGGGTATCGGGCGAGCCTGGATCTATACTGACGGCAAAGGTAGATAACTTCTGGTTCCGACAAATATATGGCTCAAGACATATACTGCAATGACTGCAATACTAGGAAAATGTATGTTTTCAATTAGGTTAATGCATTTGATTAAATGTTACAACAACTTTATAAGAAATTACTACTGTAACTGTACTTTGTTGTTGTTTTTTTCCATAGGTAAAGTCATTGTTGAGCTAGTATAATGTTAATTATTTTTTATATGAATGTTATTTTTTTGAATTTCAGGAAATGAAACAGCAATTATAACTTTTAAATTACAGCATTTTAAACCTAACCAAACCTCATTGTTTTTGTAAAAGAAGAAGTATGATAAAGGATAAAATGTGGTTAAATATTTTGTACCATTATTCAACAAACGTGTATTAATAAACTATGTTTTAAAACAAGTGCTGAGTCTAGCAAGTTAGGCTCTCCAGTTGTTTTGTTCATTGTTTGGGATTATTTATAAAAATAATGCAAATGTACTAGTTGATTGATAGATATTTTCTCAATAGATATTTAAACAAAAAAATGTTTATCACAATAGAAAGTAAAATATTCGCATGAACAGCGTTATTGTTGGGCTGAACAACGTTATTTTTTTGGTTGAACAGTGTTATTGTTGGGATGGTGGGGGAAAGAGAAAGGCAAAGCTTAAACAATGTACATCAAGTATTATTCATTTTCTTTTCATCAATTTCTTATTTCTTTTCATAGTCATATTTATAATTTGCATTTTAGAAAAGTTTTTAATAACAGCGCATTTTGTTTATTTTGATGTACTTGTATATATTATATATAAATGACAGCTATGACAGCGTTCTTCTTCGCAGAATAAATCTATGGAAAAACTGTAAAAAACAGCAGCAATAATTATAAGTATTTAAAAATGCTTAATGTTGTTTGGTATATTTGGTTTTATCATCTGAGGATCGTAATGCATTTTGCATAATCATTTGTTCATACATATATATGATAGTTGTTTATATTTTATTTCCTATTTTTATCAAAATCTATGCATAGGTAGCATAAAAAGCAACAATACAAAAGAAATGGGAGTACATGTATTTAGCAGTTAATTTTAAGTACTGTGAATTTTGAATAATACAGTCTTTGATGTAGCATTGCAATGCTCATTGATACTTACCATATTAAGTTTGTGTAGGTTTATTCTAAGAGTACTTTAGCTGACCAGAGGTCATACAAATAAACTTACTAAATTGTAGGTGATGTAAATAAATAACATTGAAGCAAGAGTGTATATTTGAATTTTCAAAGGTTTCGGAATCTCCCTATATAATGTGTGTTCATTATGCAGAGAAGTACTATAAATGACTTATGTTTCCCATTGCTTAAAGTTTTATAGCAGTTTATTGTAATGCTGAAATACCATTTTAAGGATTCAGACGATAATTGAGTATCTTTTTAGCTCACCTGAGCTTGCTCAGGGTGAGCTTTTAGGATCGATGAATGTCCGTCGTCCGTCGTCCGTCCGGCCGTCCACAATTGCTTGTGAACACTCTAGCGGTAGCATTTTTGCCTTAATCATCATCAAACTTGGTCAGGATGCTTATCTAGTTGAAAGCTCGGATGAGTTCGAACATGGGTCATCTCAGATGAAAAACTAGGTCACAAGAGCTAAAAATAGAAAAACCTTGTGAACACTCTAGAGGTCACATTTTTGACCCAATCTTCATCAAACTTGGTCAGGATGTTTGTCTAGGTGATAGCTCGGATGAGTTCGAACATGGGTCATCTCGGATGAAAAAGTAGGTCACAGGAGCTATAAATAGAAAAACCTTGTGAACACTCTAGTGGTCACATTTTTGAACCAATCATCATCAAACTTGGTCAGAATGCTTGTCTAGTCAATTGCTTGGATGAGTTCGAACATGGGTCATCTCTGATGAAAAACTAGGTCACAGGAGCTAAAAATAGAAAAACCTTGTGACCACTCTAGTGGTCACATTTTTGACCCAATCATCATCAAACTTTGTCAGGATGCTTGTTTAGATAATAGCTCGGATGAGTTCGAATATGGGTCATCTCGGATGAAAAACTAGGTCACCGGAGATATAAATAGAAAAACCTTGTTAACACTCTAGCGGTCACATTTTTTGCATCAATCATCATCAAACTTGGTCAGGATGCTTATCTAGTTGATAGCTTGGATGAGTTCGAACATGGGTCATCTCGGATGAAAAAGTAGGTCACCGGAGCTAAAAATAGAAAAACCTTGTTAACACTTTAGCGGTCTCATTTTTGCATCAATCATCATCAAACTTGATCAAGATGCTTGTCTAGGTAATAACTCGGATGAGTTCGAACATGGGTCATCTCGGATGAAAATCTAGGTCACAGGAGCTAAAAATAGAAAAACCTTGTTAACACTCTAGTGGTCACAATTTTGACTCAATTGTCATCAAACTTGGTCAGGAAACTTGTCTAGGTCATTGCTGGGAATAAATCGAACATGGGACATCTCGGATGAAAAACTAGGTCACAGGAGCTAAAAATAGAAAAATCTTGTTAACACTCTAGTGGCTACTGTTGTGATCCAAATATTCTGTTAATTGGTCTGAAAGTTGTTTTGATGATTTCTAAGTCAAGATCGAACATGGGTCATCTTGGATGAAAAACTAGGTCACACCGCCCAAATATGGAAAAACCTTGTTAACATTCTAGTGGTCACATTTTCGACTCCATTATCATCAAACTTGGTCAGAATGCTTGTCTAGGTAATTGCTTGGATGAGTTCGAAATCGCATGTGAAACTAGGTCACCGGAGCTAAAAATAGAAAAATCTTGTTAACACTCTAGTTGCTACTGTTTTGATCCAAGTATCCTGGAAATTGGTCTGAAAGTTTGTTTTGATGATTTCTAGGTCAAGTTTGAATATGCGTCACCTGGGTAAAAAACTAGGTCGCACTGCTCAAATATGGATAATCCTTGTTAACACTGTAGTGGTCACATTTTTGACTCACCTGTCATGAGACTTGGTCAGAATGCTTGTCTAGGTAATTGTTTGGATGAGTTTGATAATTCAGGTGAGCGATCTAGGGCCATCATGGCCCTCTTGTTTAACAAACTTTTGAGACAAAGTTAGTATGTTGATTTTAAAGTTATTTACATGGCGTCATTTTTGACCTAGACACCAAAATATCTCATTGTGATACATTATATTATGCAAATATTCTGTTAAATATTGTATATATGTTATTGAATGTTGTTGTACAGAATGAGGGGTCATTACATTAGTGCTGTAACTAGTCTCTTTTCCTTAAACCTATTAACATTCATTGTCTTCCTTTGATTTAGAAACTATCATTTTGTATTATTAGAGGTGGTTCTACTCTGATACCCAAAATAATGCACAGAGGGGCACTTGGGGTCTTCCTCCACCAATAAAAGCTGGAAAGTCGCCCTATAACTTCTACTGTGTCGGTGTGACATAAAATACAACAAGGAAATATATTGTGGGAGGTTGTTGAAGCCAATAGTATAAAATATGCTTGTTGGCAGGCTGGTGTGGCTCTATACTTGTAGAAATTGTAAGTAATTGTTACATTTGAACGGTTCGAAAACACCTGTCATAACCTTAATAATTTGACTTCACAGCTATATTGCAAGTCCATTTTGATTTAAGAACATGTATATTTAATTATGACACTGTTGCAATTAACCCTTTTGACTTAGAACTGTCTTTGATTGAAAATGTATAAATTTGAATGTTCATTATTATTTCTTTCCAGAAAAAAGCCCACCATTTAGACTGGCAGGAAGTCACTTTTCTCTTTGCAAAGTGCTTTAATTTTGATTTCAGTCTTAGATTTATTCATTGAGAGACTGGTCAGTGTGAGAGAATGAGAATTTACACATTTATTTAGATCATATTCTAATGTCCTCACTGATTAAAACTTTATTTTGATAAAATGATATAAAACTGTAAATTATCATATAAAACTGTGTATTATCAAGCTATGTTGGATCTAACTAACACTAAAGCACCTTAGTTGTTGAAAATATATTTTATATTTTGTCTGATTAGTCTTCAGTTTTTGAAATTCTGAATTTATTTAATTATCACCAACTTGATTAATATTATCTTGTTAAATAAATTTATCATACTCTAGCAGTGTACAGATTCAAAACATGATTTCAACACCTAAGTAGATTAGTGTTTGATAAGTCTGCATTTATAACATTCAATCTGTGACATGACTGTATCACACTGGACATATTTTATCAATGTTGGCTAACACCCATTAACTTATACATATTTGCTTAAAAATATTGAAATGATTTATAAAATTATTGTACATTATGAAATGTCTTGTTAAGTTTAGCACACAACTTTTATTGTTATGGTAATTAATTTGACCTTTATCCTTTAGTGTTATATAAATAAATATGACAAAGGTCATTGTGTGACCTCGAAATCTGTGACAGAATTTCAGTTGTATATCTGGAGAAGGTATTATCATACAGATGTGAGTCTTATAGGAATCTTTTTGTTGATTATTAAATGTCAAGGTCATGTTGACGTTGTCACAGACAACTATTTTCTACCAGCCACAGTCAACCTTTTTCTGACAGGCTTCCATAAGGGATATTAGTTTTTTGTAAAAACTAACATCATTTTTTTCAAATATTCATTTTTATGCCTTTTTGGTGTTCAGCCACTAGTATATAGATTTTTTATAGACTTAACTACCATATATTTTTATGGCATTACATTTGATGGGAGATGTATGACTATTTACATTCAGTGTCAAAGATTCCAGTGTTTGTTTTAAAGAAAAATCAGTAAGATTGACAGAAACATTTTAAAATGTTGAGAGTGTCCTTGGCCAAGTGGTAAAGGTTGTTTACTTCAAACCACTTCCCCTTCACATTGTGGGTATGAATCCCATCAAGAACTTACATGTAAGGAAGCTACCCTGAAAGTCGGTGGTTCTTCTCAGGTGCCCCTTTGTGCCTAAATTGCACAACAGGGAACTTGTGGTATTCCTTCACCAATAATGTCTAAAAGTTGCCATATGACCTTAACACTGTTTGTGCTGTGTGAAACCCAATAAAACAAAATGAAGACAAAAAACTGCTGCAGAAGTTTGTGTTAAATTAACACTTGAGTCATTGACTGAAGCTTAGTATAAGGTTTTATGATCGATACATACACTGACATCTTTATTCTGTACTTGTGATATTTTATGTGGGTTTCTACAGAACTATTTGTAGAGTTTATGTATAGTTGTTTATAGAGAATTATATGTAACTTTGATTAATTTATGTTGGCAAGGAAAGGAGGTAAAGAAATAAAAAACAAAAC